CTTGACAGTGTTGTGTGTCTTTCCTGGATCATGACTGAAACAAATAAAAAGAACCAAGTAGTGATTCTTGAAATGAAAAAATACAAGAATCAGCTAGGTGTGATGGCTCATGCCTGTAATCCTAACATTTTGGGAGGCTGAGGTGGGCAGATTGCTTGAGCCCAGGTATTTGAGAGTTCGAGATGAGCCTGGGCAACATGGTGAAACCCCATTTCTACAAAAAAAAAAATACAAAAATTAGCCAGGTGTGGTGGTGTGTGACTATAGTCCCAGCTATTTGAGAGGCTGAGGTGGGAGGATCACTTGAACCCAGGGAGGTTGAGCTGCAGTGACCCATGATTATGCCACTGTACTCCAACCTGGGCAGCAGATTGAGACCCCGTCTCAAAAAAAATAAAAAATAAAATACAATAACCAAAACTTAAAACCTAATGGATAGGTTAAACAGTTTGGAAGTAGTGAATTAGAAATAAATTATTGAGACTGCAGGGACCAAAAAAAGAGAGACATGAAGAGAAGACATGGAAGAGAGTGGAAAGGTCTATTATACATTACACATTTAATCAGAGTTCCAAAAGGTGGCAGACAAAATGTTTGAAACGATAATGGCTATCAGGTGTTCAGAACTGAAGAAAGCTACTGATCCACAAGTTTGTTTTTTTGAGATGGAGTCTCGCTCTGTCACCCTGGAGTGCAGTGGCACAATCTTGGCTCACTGCCAACCCCAATTCCTGGGTTCAAGCAATTCTCCTGTCTCAGTGCACCACCATGCTCGGCTAATTTTTATATTTTTAGTAGAGACAGGGGTTTCACCGTATTGGCCAGGCTGGTCTCAAACTCCTGACCTTGTGATCCGCCTGCCTTGGCTTCCCAGAATGCTGGGATTACAGGCATGAGCCACTGCACCCACCTCTAATCCACAGTTTTCAGAATCTTAAATAGGATAAATTAGCTAAGATACCTATACCTAGGAACAACTTAAAATAGAGCAAACAAGGTTAGTCCTAAGATAATAACTATCGAAGCTCCATGATGGATTCACTCATGGAGTTCATTATGCTATTGTCTAATTTTGTATATGCTTAAGATTTGCATAATGAAGTTTTTCAAAAAAGTAAGGGTGAAATCATTCAGTTATTGCTCTCATAGTCTCCGGGACCTTTCACATGTTATCTTAGGGTCAGAGAACCATAGCTTCACAGTTAATCATTGCAGGAGGAAGGTACTATATTAGAAGAATCCACATTTCTGAGTTCTGTAGATAGGTCTGTATCATACATGTTGCTGGACTACTTAATATCTTAAGTACCAAAGGCCAGGGACTACACTCACAGAAGCATTTCCCTTCTAAAAAATAGTGATGGACTATAGCAAAGTGTTAGCAATCCAGACCTTCAAAGAGTAACACTCAGGCCAGGCACGGTGGCTCCCACCTGTAGCCCAGCATTTTGGGAGGCCGAGGGGGACAGATCACTTGAGGTCAGGCATTTGAGACCAGCCTGGACAGCATGGCAAAACCCCATCTCTACTAAGGATACAAAATTAGTCAAGCATGGCAGTGCATGCCTGTAGTCCCGGCTACTTAGGAGGCTGAGGCAGGAGAATTGCTTGAACCTGGGAGGTGGAAGCTGCAGTAAGCCAAGATGGCACCCCTGCACTCCAGGCATGGGAGACAGAGTGAGACTCTGTCTCAAAAAAAAAAAAAAGTAACACTAAGAAGTCAGAATCTCTATTTGGACATTTTTAGGGGCAAATGACAGGCTAGTTCTGAAATTCAAGATAATTGAACCTAATAAACTCCTAGGTGAGATGCAAAGAATACCAAGAATGAGCTCATAGCAAAGTTTGGAACCAAAAATGTTAGTATGTCAATAAGGAAAGAAATGATAGCAGAATTCTTTTATTCCAGAAATATTTTAATACAATTGTAGTACAGTTATGAATCACATTCAATCCACTGAATATATTCAGGGTATTAATAAAAATATTATACATCTTTATTCACTACCTTAATATAATTAAAGTATTTGGTTCTTATAGATGAGACTAATTACCATATTCATTCGTATATGCACTACTGGTCACACAACATGGAAATAAATTTATGGATTATGATAGTGGGGTTTCAGTCCTTTTTGATCTGAAGTCTAAGTTTCAAAAGTGAATGTTGTCTTATTTAAATGCCAGAATATTTGAATCCTAGAAAGAACAGGCAACTAATTTTAAGGCAAGATATTGAAACTTTTATACAACTTTAATTTGAAAAAAGAAATTATCAAAGATTATACCTGCCCTAACATTTAGATACCTGTAGATTCATATAAAGGCAGTAATAAAAATATCAGTGCAAGTTCTACATTGGGTTCCTCAGTAGAGAAAATAATAGGTTCTTCGAGTGAACCATTATCTTCAAATCCCAAAACATGGCAAGAAAGAATTCTTCTGATGCAGGACTTAACATGTAGCATAATTTGGTCAATAAAGGTAAGTATAAAATATTGTGATTATACATAAAAATTAGTGTCTTGGCCAGTTTGTTAAACTTTTGTTTTTCAGATTTACTTTAATGTGAGCTTTTAAAAAATGCTTAAAAATCCAACTGATTTAAAACTGATTGATAGTAGTAGTGCAAAGAGGCTCTCCTCTTTTTATTTTTATTTTTTGGTATGGGCTGAAGATTAGCATTTAACAAAGAAATAATTTATATTAAACCATATGTAAAATGTATGTGTGTTTGAATGAGTAAAGAAGGCACAAGATGAGTTAAATTAAAACATTACCACTTGTTCTGAACTCTTAACTGTACAGCATTATAATACACACTTTTAGATATGAGTCCAGATTTATTATCATTGAAGTGACAGCACATTTTTTAGCTCTATTATTTGTGCTAAAGACACTGCCATTACAGACTGCAAAAAGGCAGCACATGTTGAGTCCAAGTAACAATGACTTCTATTAAGACAGTGTTCGTTGGTTTGTTTTTAAATTACAATGGCTAAGACAACTGGTGGAATGGAATTAGGTCTCAAAAGCTGATGTGAAAATTACTAGTACATTTGCATTTGCAAAGCTATTTACATACTTTAAGGAAATGTTATTGATCTGTGGAAAAAGCAAATGGTGGTGCTTTCATCTGCATTTTAATTAACTTATTAAATAGACAACACATTTTAACATTAAAATAAAAAAGACATTCATATACCATACGCATGGGTTTAACTACAAATGGACCATTAGTGTTAGGCACCAAAAATTTCAAGTTTTTCCCCACCCCATCCCATTGATATATTATCAACTCTTCTATTTCTTCTCCATAGGTATCATCATTTACATTAAACATTTGTGCAGTTCATAAAAATTCTGTTCTGGGCAACTGAATTGGCGATTGTCCTGCCCCTCTTCGCATTCTTTATTGCATATTTTGTTAGTTGTCTCACAGCAACTTGATTGGTACAATCTCTATTGCCATTTTTAAAGTATCTGAATTTCTATTCTAACCATGAGAGTTCTTATATGTATGTATTTATCCCAACTAACGAAATTGTGTCTAAATTTGGTGACTAATAAAAATAATGAATCTTATTGTTGTTTGTTTTTTTTTGAGACAAGAGTTTTACTCTTGTCGCCCAGGCTAGAGTTCAGTGGCATGATCTCAGCTCACTGCAACCTCTGCTTTCCAGGTTCAAGCGATTCTCCTGCCTCAGTCTCCCAAGTAGCTGGGATTACAGGCACCTGCCACCACGCCCAGCTAATTTTTGTATTTTTGGTAGAGATGGGGTTTCACCATGTTGGCCAGGCTAGTCTCCTGACCTCAGGTGACCTGCCTGCCTTGGCCTCCCAAAGTGCTGTGATTACAGGTATGAGCCACCTGTGCCCAGCCAAATCTTATTCTTAATGGTTACTGTAGAATAATTTCAATCCTGTCCCTTATGATTCTGAATCACATAAAGGAAAATAACTTTTCATGTGAATGTACAATGTTTACACATGTCAGTAAGACAGTTTACAAGACAAACTAGTCTACATAGACAAAAGGTCTATACTAAAGTTTAATCTGGACCCTAGAACTGTCAGGGGCCTCTTGTGAAGAGTCTGCCCTACTCAGGAATGGGCACATGGATGAACAATTACTCACTTGTGTACTGAGGGAGTGGAGTATAGATGTAGGGAGGTGAAATTACCACTCCTGGAATAAATGTAGGATTATAATGGAATGATGGAATTTATTGTACAATCACATTGGTAAGTCTTGTTCAGGTATTGGGCAACAAAAAAATGACTTGACCATTTAAATAATTATTTCATACATCAGAATTAGAGAAAATGATTTTCTGTGGGAAAAACATTAGTACATGTACATAATTTCTTGTCTTTAGTAAGCTGAAAGTGAGTGAAAATTATGTACTAATTATTTATCAAATCAGGAAAAAAACAGAAATGAAGTGCCAGGGAAGCATACAAAGTTAAGGCACCATTATTTACAACATCAGTGATTGGCACTTATTCTCAAAAAGGCTTTAAAGACATGAATAAAAAGCAATGTTATGTTTTTACCTACTTCTATAAACTACTTAGTAGTTCTTAACATAGCTGTCTGTTATTTGTGCTTTGTTTTTCAGCTCCATTAATAGCAGCTGCATTTTATGATAACATCCTGCATCTTTCCTTTACTTTGGTGTTTGTGAACATTACACAGTGGTAAAGGCTATAAAAGGTGCACAACTGGAAAACACATATGCCCTGCCTCTTCATAGAAAACAATGCAAAATAGATGGCTGAACTGACATAGTACTGTCTCAAAGTCTTTTTCAGGAATTAGTATATATTAAGTTTAGGGTTTACAGCAGGCATCCCCAAACTTTTTACACAGGGGGCCGGTTCACTGTCCCTTAGACCATTGGAGGGCCACCACATACTGTGCTCCTCTCACTGACCACCAATGAAAGAGGTGCCTCTTCCTGAAGTGCGGCGGGGGGCCGGATAAATGGCCTCGGGGGCCGCAAGTGGCCCATGGGCCGTAGTTTGGGGACACCTGGTTTATAGCATTCTGCATAATGACTAAAACAGCAATGGCTTCCAAAAGTTCAAAAAGGTTAGTTATGTGACTGTTGGTCCAATAAATGTGTTCAAATGCAGCAAGTATATTTAACTACATAAGTTCCGTCCAAGTATAAAATACTATACAAAATTCACAAGTGTGTCTGTGCATGTACATATGCACGTTTATAACTGTCCTTGCTTCCAAAGCTGAGACATTCACTAGTTTACAAGTACGTTGCTGCAGTCAGCTGATACCATTTAACTGTCTCTTTGCTCAAGTTGAAATCTTTCAAAGGCAGAGTTACTCCACCCAAGAAAAAATTCTCCCGCAGAGATTCTGCACTCAGCACACTTAGTTGAAGTTCTCGCTGTCTTAGGGTTTCTTTACTATACCCACTGTACACAAGCTACAACAAAGGAAAAAAGAAACAGTAAATTACAAATTAAAGTTTGTTTGGTTTATTGGAACATTTCAAGTGAAAACGTGAGAATATTAGCTAAAGAGTGACCATAATGAATGACACTTACTATGACACATCTGGTAGGTTTTGTCTTAATACTTTAGAAGGACGTTTTTTATTTCAGGAGTCTTGGATTGTACTACTATTCCTGAAATGTCTGACAGAGAGAGGTACAAAGCAGTACTAATTAGCTAAAAAATAAAAATTAGAGGCTGGATGCAGTGGCTCATGCCTGTAATCCCAGCACTTTGGGAGGCTGAGGCAGGTAGATCACCTGAGGTTAGGAGTTCAAGACCAGCCTGGCCAAAATAGTGAGACTCGTCTCTACTAAAAATACAAAAATTAGCTGGGCATGGTGGCAGGTGCCTGTAATTCCAGCTACTCAGGAGGCTGAGGCAGAAGAATCACCTGAACCTGGGAGGTGGAGGCTGCAGTGATCTGAGATCGCCCCACTGCACTCCAGTCTGGGCAACAAGAGCGAGACTCTGTCTCAAAAAAAAAAAAAAAAAAAAAAAAAAAACACCAATAAAAATAAAATTAAAGATAGAAACACAGTTTTTCTGAACTGGATGTGATGGAAAAGGAAAAAGAAATTACAGTATACCAAAAGATGATCTAATAGCTGGGGGGAAAAAAAGAATGGAAAGAAGCAAATTGGGAGGTAATTATAATTATTCTGCCAAAAAAGAGGGATTAAAATTTCCTTTTGTTGTCTTTTTTTCTGTTGGAGTTTTTATACCATGAAATAATTTGTTGATTATTCATAACTAAATACAAAGTCACCCAACTAAAAATGCAGTTTGCACCAAGTCTGGAGTGTTACAAAGTTACTCTGTTTCAAACTCACATCACATTGAACACTTAGAATTTTAATTTTTCTGCCTCATCATAAGTTTTGAGAAATATCTCCTTAACCTAGTCCTGTTTGGCTAAAATAACTTAAAATGGCCAGGCGCTGTGGGTCACACCTGTAATCCCAGCATTTTGGGAGGCCAAGGCAGGTGGATCACCTGAGGTCAGGAGTTCGAGACCAGCCTGGCCAACATGGGGAAACCCTATCTCTACTTAAAATATACAAAAATTAGCCAGGCGTGGTGGTGGGTGCCTGTAATCCCAGCTAGTTCGGAGACAGAGGCAGGAGAATTGCTTGAACCTGAGAGGCAGAGGTTGCAGTGAGCCAAGATTGTGCCATTGTACTCCGGCCTGGGCAGCAAGAGGGAAACTTGGTCTCAAAAAAAAAAAAAAAAAAACCAATTGGTCTTTACCAAGCATTGTTGTGCTTTTAAAGAAGTCAAAGGATTGGCCAGACACGGTGGTTCACACCTGTAATCCCAACACTCTGAGAGGCCAAGGCTCGTGGATCACCTAAGGTCAGGAGTGTGAGACCAACCTGGGCAACAAGGCAAAACACCATCTCTATTAAAAACACAAAAATCAGCTGGGCATAGTAGCACATGCCTGTAGTCCCAGCTACGCGGGAGGCTGAGGCACGAGAATTGCTTGAACTGGCAGGCAGAGGTGCAGTGAGCCAAGATTGCACCACTGTACTTGACCTGGGTGACAGAGTGCGAATCTGTCAAAAAAAAAGAAAAGAAAAAGAGGTCAACGGATTTTCTGTAGGTTTTAATAAATTTATAAGCTTAATGAGAAATCAGAATTACCTGCTTCCAATCTCTAATCAGACATCGTGTGGATATACAAAAGATGTGTTTATCCTAAAGAAGTAGTTTAATAAGAGAGAAGTTGGGGGGGACCTTTACCATGTTTTAATAGGTACTAAGTTTATAAGTTGACTGTGAGTCACTCTCAGCAAAGTCACAGTTATACTCCATGCAATTCAGTTGATACTTTGCTTATTGCTTTGATTTTTGTTTTTTTTTAAAGAGGCAGTGTCTCACTCTGTTGCCCAGGCTAGAGTGCAGTGACACAATCATGGTTTACTGTAACCTCAAACTCAAGGGCTTAAGCTATCCTCCAGCCTCAGCCTCCTGAGTAGCTAGGACTACAGGTGCATGCCATCATGCCTGGATAATTTTTTAATTGTTTGTAGAACAGGGTCTCACTATGTTGGCCAGCCTAGTCTCAAGCAATCCTCCTGCCTCAGCTTTCCAAAGTCCTGAGATTAGAGATACAAGCCACCACCTGTGGCACTGCTTTCTTTTCTTTCTTTCTTTCTTTCCTTTTTTTTTTTTTTTTTTTTTGAGACGGAGTTTCGCTCTTGTTACCCAGGCTGGAGTGCAATGGCGCGGTCTCGGCTCACCGCAACCTCCGCCTCCTGGGCTCAGGCAATTCTCCTGCCTCAGCCTCCTAAGTAGCTGGGATTACAGGCACGCGCCACCACGCCCAGCTAGTTTTTTGTATTTTTAGTAGAGACGGGGTTTCACCATGTTGACCGGCATGGTCTCGATCTCTCGACCTCGTGATCCACCCGCCTCGGCCTCCCAAAGTGCTGGGATTACAGGCTTGAGCCACCGCGCCCGGCTTTCCTTTTTTTTTTTGAGACCGAGTCTAGCTCTGTTGCCCCTAGGTTGCAGTGCAGTGGCGCAATCACAGCTCACTGAAGCCTCAACCTCTGGGGCTCAAGTGATCCTCCTACCTCGGTCTCCCAAATAGCTGGGACAACAGGTGCATGCCACTATGCTGGGCTAATTTGTTATATTCTGTAGTGACAGCATCTCATAATCTTACCCTGGCTGGTCTAATACTCTTGGGTTCAACCAGTCCTCCTGCCTTGGCCTCCCAAAGTATTGCAAGTACAAACATGAGCCACTATACCTGGCCTGCTTTCAATTTTGAGTACTCGGAGAGAGTTACTAAAAGAAGAAAACAGCCTGGGTGTGGTGGCTGACATGTGTAATCCCAGCACTTTGGGAGGCTGAGGTAGGTGGATCACCTGAAGTCAGGAGTTCGAGACCAGCCTGGCCAAGATGGTAAAAACCCAACTCTACTAAAAATACAAAAATTAGCCGGACGTGGTGGCGCTCACCTTTAGTCCCAGCTACTTGGGAGGCTGAGGCACAAGAATTATTTGAACCTAGGAGGCAGAGGTTGCGGTGAGTTGAAATTGCACCAATGCACTCCAGGCTAGGCAATAGAGCGAGACTCCATACCCTCCAAAAAGTAAGAAAAAAAGAGGAAAACATCTGAAGGAGAATGGTTTTGAAACTATATCCTATCAAATTAATTAAGGTAAAAGTACTAGATGTTTTTAAATAATGGGAAAGACATCTGAACTTCAATTATCTGAAAGGGCTGCCTCAAAGAAGGAAGAAGAGTAGTTCAGTATGGCCCCAACAGGTATAACTGAGACCCCACAGATGGCCTCAGAAAATCAAAATCTTAGCTGTATATAAAAAATAATCTAAGAAGTGGAGCTATCCGAGACAAACCAAATAGCCTGGAAGTAATTCAACTACTTTGCCAGTGTGTGAACTCCCCTCTATAATAGTCACAAAAAGTGGTTGTCTATATGGCTCCTAAGGTCCATGAGGGCTTTTGTTAAATACTATTGAACTGTTATTGGTGTATATTGTATAACAAATAGTTCGGCAACTGTTACCTAAATATTTATTTATTTTTTTGAGACAAGGTCTCACTCTGTTGCCCAGTCTGGAGTACAGTGGCATGATCATGGCTCACTGTGGCCTTGACCTCCTCGGCTCAAGCAATCCTCCTGCCACCTAGGACTACAGGTACGTGCCACCATACCTAACTAATTTTTTTTTTTATAGAGATGGAATTTTACCATGTTGCCCAGGCTGGTCTCAAATTCCTGAGCTCAAGTGATCTACCTACCTTGGCCTCTGAAATTGCTGGGATTACAGGCATGAGCCATTTTGTCTGGCCTTAAAATGTTTTTAAAATCTCAAAAAAAAAAAAAAAAAAAAAAAAAAAATCTCAAAACGATGGACACGGGGAACAGGGGGAACACACACTGGAGCCTGCTAGGGGATGGGAGGGGGGAGGGATAGCATTAGGAAAAATAGCTAATGCATGCTGGGCTTAATACCTAGGTGATCGGTTTATAGGTGTGCAAACCGTGATGGCACGTTTAGCTATGTAACAAACCTGCACATCCTGCACATGTACCTCGGAACTTAAAAATGAAAATTTAAAAAAACTCAATAAACCAAGGAAATTTTTAGAAATGATTCTAACTTACCATTTCATTGAATGTCGGATTCCTTGTTTTTCGTGAAATTTTGGTTTTACGTTTGGATGTTTTGTGGGTATCTGGAAGTAGGTATGTTTTGACATATGGATTTGGGTCAGCCCCATCTTCAGTAACCTAAAAAGGAAAGCAGTCTCTTAATAGCAGTGCTTCCTACCAAGGTAAGGGTTTCCTCTGCAACCATCATTCTTTGTAATCACTCACAAGATCTTTGATGTGCATCACCATGATGAAAAGAGTACCATTTCGGTAAGAGATGGATAATTTCACAGCTCCTCCTATTTGGCCTGGAGTAGGACTGAAGGGACCTGCATCTGAAAATACAAATAGTTTCATCTTTATTTTATCTTGGTTGTAGTGGTTCAAGCAGATCAAAGGATTTTGCCTTATTTTCAAGACCATCACATGTGGTGTAGACAGAAGGGAGGGGGGAAAAAGAAGTAAACAACATGGTTAGGTCATTGATTTATACTCCTTTAGTAATCACATCTATTAGGAAAGTTGTATCTATTCAGAAACAGACTGGCTTAGAAAGAATACTCCCCTCTCATTCTCAGACTATAGCTAGTAAGCCCACTTTCATTCTACCATACTCACTGAGAAGTTATGGACTTGCAGATCATGAGTTACCAATAAAGAGAAAAAAAAAAATCTCACCTGCAGACCTAGCTATTCCTTCAGCTTTCTCATCACGAAGTAAAGGGTGGAAGAAAGTACAAACAAGATCACACTAAGATTAAAGAGAAAACAATTCATTAATTTAAATACTAAATAACACAAATGATAAAGGATGTTATTACTTCTTATTTAGTAAGTTCACCTCTGCTACATCTGTTGAAGCATTCATCAAACTCTGTAAATAACTGTTTAACTCAATTTTCCTTTTGGCGGCTACATCTTTTATGTGTGTTCTTCCTAGAACCATCTTATTAGGAAAGCTACAAAAGAAAAATAAAAACAAGTGAGATTTAAATAAGTATAGTATTTCCTTAGAAATAAACTTTTTTTTTTTTTTTTTTTTGAGACGGAGTTTCGCTCTTGTTACCCAGGCTGGAGTGCAATGGCGCGACCTCGGCTCACCGCAACCTCCGCCTCCTGGGTTCAAGCAATTCTCCTGCCTCAGCCTCCTGAGTAGCTGGGATTACAAGCACGTGCCACCATGCCCAGCTAATTTTTTGTATTTTTAGTAGAGATGGGGTTTCACCATGTTGACCAGGATGGTCTCGATCTCTTGACCTTGTGATCCACCCGCCTCGGCCTCCCAAAGTGCTGGGATTACAGGCCTGAGCCACTGCATGCGGCAGAAATAAACTTCTTAAATATATACTTAAAGACAGAGTAACATCTTAATCCATTATGAAGTAATATTTTGTGGCCGGGCACAGTGGCTCATTCCTATAATCCCAGCACTTTGGGAGGCCAAGACAGGTGGGTCATTTGAGGTCAGGAGTTCGAGACCAGGCTGGCCAATATGGTGAAAACCTGTCTAAACTAAAAATACAAAAACTAGCCAAGCATGCTGAGAGGTGCCTATAATCCCACTACTCAGGAGGCTAAGGCAAAAGAATCACTTGAACCTGGCTGAGTCACTTGCACTCCAGCTTGAGTGACAGTGCAAGACTCTGTCTCAAAATAAAATAAATAAGTTTTTGTGATTTGTCTTCAAAGTACTGGAGACAACATAGTTCAATTACCCATTATCCTTTTATGAGCTTGGTAGAAAAGGTATACGGGTTGATTTCCTATATTTATTATTAGGTTGGTTCAAAAGTAACTATGGTTTTTGACATTAAAAGTAATGGCAGAAACCACAATTACTTTTGTACCTACCTAATACTTATTTTCTACTATTTCTTCTCAAGTTTAATCACTCATAAATATTTTATCCAGATCTGATCCCTAAAAAAAAAAAACCACTACTCAATCAGCCACAGCTATTATATACACAGTAAAATCCACAAATAATAACATAAGGCCTAAGTAAAGTGCTGAAAGGATAATCTTAATTGTACTTATTTTGGTAGCAGTGGAAAAATGAAACTGTACCTGGAAACAAAACTCTAATACCCACTTCACTTCCTCCTTACTTTTGAAATCTAATCTGAAGAAAATATGAACAACTCAACACAGAAAACTACTGATCATTGGGCTACATTAAAACTGAGGACTCCCAAAGGGTATCAGATACAAAACTAAGATTTTGATTAACAGTCTTGATGGTATTTGCTTCAGTTTTTTTATCAGAGGAGCTCAGTATGCCCCACGATAGATTATTTCTGCATTGATTTTTTTTTGAGACAGGATCTCACTTTGTTGCCCAGGCTGTAGTGCAGTGATGTGATCTTGGCTGCCTGCAACCTCCACCTTGTGGTATCAATCAGTCCTCTCACTTCAGCTCCTGAGCAGCTGGGATTACAGACATGTGCCACCACACCCAGCTAATTTTTGTTTTTATAGATGGGGTTTCGCCATGGTGACCAGGCTAGGCTCAAACTCCTGGACTCAAGCTTTATCTCCCTACCTCGGCCTCCCAAAGTGCTGGGATTATGAGCATCTGAGCCACCATGCCCAGCCGCATATGACTTTTTTCAAAACCAAGATTCCAAATTATTATCTTGTGTTGCTTATTATGGTAGAGACAGCAAAGTTAAAGCCTCAATAAAAGTCTAGAAAATCTCATATTTTAATATCCTGATCATGTATTCATTCAACAAAAACTTACAGTTCCTTGTTTATGTCTACTTTTGTATTAGCTCCTTGTGATACAAAGGAAAATAAGCCACACATGGCCTATAGTGTTAACACAAAGCTTTTCACGTACATTTGATAACAACTTGTTGCCTACAAAAAGGATTAATGTACAAGGATGGATACATACCCTGGTAACTTCCAAAGTGGAAAAATAATACTGAGCTTATTGTGAAGTTCCTGAAATTCATCAAATGTTCGGAAGACAAATGATGGTTCAATCTGTCCTTCCCTCAAAATTCGGACTACATAAATCTGAAAAGAAATCACACCACAAACACATAAAATTTATATTTAAACCTTATCTCCAGGCTGGGTGTGGTGACTCATGCCTTTAATCACAGCACTTTGGATGGCCGAGGTGGGCAGATCACCTGTCAGGAGTTTGAAACCAGCCTGGCCAACATGGTGAAACCCTATCTCTATTAAAAATGTAAAAATTAGCTGGGCATGGTGTTGCATGTCTGTAATCCCAGCTACTCAGGAGGCTGAGGCAGAAGAATCACTTGAACCCGGGAAATGGAGGTTGCAGTGAGCAAAGATGGTACCCTAGCCTGGGCAACAGAGTGAGACTTCGTCTCAAAACAAACAAACAAACAAACAAATAAAACACAAAACCTTCTTTCCTATATTGATCTTAGCCAACAGAGCAATAAAATCTCCTTTTCTGACAGAAATGTATAGCTTGTTATATATAGTTCAAATACTTTTATCTTGGTAATATATATGTCATCAATAGGAAAAAGCAAATATAAGTCATTGTATTACATTTTTAAGAGTTATCATAACCACCCTAAGGTATATAAAATAGAACTTAAAAGTATAAGCTGGCCACGGTTACTCATGCCTATAATCCTAGCACTTTGAGGGGCCAAGGCTTCAGCTCTTGGAGAAGAGAGCAGCCTGTGCACATAGTGAGGTTCTGTTTCTACAAAAAATACAAAAATTAGCCAGGTGTGGCGGGACACACCTGCAGCCCCAGCGACTTGGGAAGATGAGGTGGGAGGATCAATTCAGTCCAGGTGTCAAGGCTATAGTAAGCCAAGATTGCATCACTGTACTCCATTTGGGGTAACAGAGTAAGACTGTGTCTCAAAAAGTAAACATAAAAGTAGGCCAGGCATGGTGGCTAATGACTGTATTGGGAGGCCGAGGCAAGAGGATCACTTGAGGCCAGGAATTTGAGACCAGCCTGGGCAACATGGCAAAACCCCATCTCTATTAAAAATACAAAAATTAGACGGGCATGCTGGTGGGTACCTGTAATCCCAGCTACTCGGGAGCTGAGACATGAGAATTGCCTGAACCTGGGAGGCACAGGTTGCAGGAGCCAAGATCGTGCCATTGCACTCCAGCCTGCATGACAGAATGAGGCTCCGCCTCAAAATAAAATAAAATAAAATAAAATAATAAAATAAAATAAATAAAATAAAATAAAATAAAATAAAATAAAATAAAATAAAATAAAAAAAATAAAATAAAATAAAATAAAATAAAATAAAATAAAATAAAATATAAAATAAAAAATAAAATAAAATTAAAATAAAATAAAATAAAATAAAATAAAATAAAATAAAATAAAATAAAATAAAATAAAATACAGCTGGTCGCTGTGGCTCACACTTGTAATCCCAGCACTTTGGGAGGCTGAGGCGGGTGTATCACCTGAGGTCAGGAGTTTGAGACCAGCCTGGCCAACATGGTGAAGCCTCGTCTCTAAAATAAATAAGTAGTCAGTTGAAAAAAAGGCAAAAGGTTTGTGAGAGGGTGGTGAAGGAAAACTTGTTTTGCTGGCTATTTAAATTTTTTTTTTTTTTTGAGACAGAGTCTCACTCTGTTGCCCAGGCTGGAGTACAATGGCACACTATCAACTCACTGCAACCTCCGCCTCCTGAGTTCGTGTCTCTCCTGCCTTAGCCTCCCAAAAGTAGCTGGGACTACAACCACATGCCACCACACTCAGCTAATTTTCGTATTTTTAGTAGAGACAGGGTTTCATCATGTTGGCCAGGCTGGTCTCAAACTCCTGACCTCAGGTGATCACATGCCTCGGGCTACCAAAGTGCTGGGATTACAGGCATAAGCCATCGTGCCCAACATATTTAAACTTCTATAAAGTTACAATACTTTAAAGAATATAATACTGGTGCCAAGTCAGCTCTATCTGTAGAAGGCCAGAAACGAATTTGGGGATCTATATATAAATTTAAAGGTAGTAGTATATTGGGAAGAGAATAGACTAGGCAATAAAATGGTGTTAGGATAACTTAATAGACACACGAAATAATACTAAAATTTATTAACAAAATAGATGAAAATTAAAACAATAGTGAAATAGTTTTTTAAAGTCTATCATTTTCCCAAAAATTTAAAAACTGGCAGTTCTGGAAAGTATTATCCAACAAAAAAGTTAGCACAAGGGTGAAAAGTAACAACAAAAAAGAATGTTATAGTCTCGAAGGGAAAAAACACGCTGAAGATCCTTTATCCGTTCAAAGACAATGTGTGTGTGTTTTGTATCACAGACTGGAATAGGAACTTTTACTTTTTACTTTATATACATCTATACTGATTGAATTTGTTACGACAAACACACTTTACCTTTAAGTAAAATAACTGAAGAATGAACAAAAAACCAAATAAATAAAAATTTAAAAAAATTGAAGAATGAGAAAAATCAGAATAGCACCATCCTTTTAGTCTTGTCTCTAAAAGAATATCACTTGGTCCTTACTGTTTGAAGCAAATACAGCAAGAATTAAATACCAAAAAAATTTAGGGATGCTTTAAGTACATTTACTTATTTATGGACCATTCATGAAAGAAACAAGCATGAATAGAACAAATGCTTGGAACTTTAGCAGAATCAGCAAAGGAAGTAGGAAGGACAACAATAATACATGCATGATTGTTTACAGATATTGAAATCAAACTTACATAATGTTTATCTGGGTTATATTTCTTATGATATGTGAAAACAGAGACTTCCTTGATTCGACCATCTTGTCTAAAGGAGTATGTTTTAGGTGAAAATGAAAGGATGGGCTCATCATTAGAAGGAATACCAGAAAAACGAAGCTGAGCAAGGTTGTGAATGAAGAAGTTAAACTTCGTGGCAATGCTTCCCAAACTTGATTCAATAAGCCTACAAAGTAATCAGAAAATTCGTTAACAGTAAATGAGAACACATGGTAAATTCTTTTAATGTAATAAATGACAAAAAATACTTTCATTCCTTTAAAAATATTACCAGGTTGTCACTTTGCCAAGGATTCCCTTTGTTCTATAGGCCAAAGATTTGTTAAGATACATCTCACCCCAGCCTGTAATCCCAGCACTTTGGGAGGCCGAGGCGGGTGGATCACGAGGTCAAGAGATCGAGACCATCCTGGTCAACATGGTGAAACCCCATCTCTACTAATGGTGCAAAAAATTAGCTGAGCATGGTGGCGCGTGCCTGTAATCCCAGCTACTCAGGAGGCTGAGGCAGGAGAATTGCCTGAACCCAGGAGGCGGAGGTTGCGGTGAGCCGAGATCGCGCCATTGCACTCTAGCCTGGGTGACAAGGACGAAATTCCGTCTTAAAAAAAAAAAAAAAAAAAGATACATCTCACCCCAACAAAATCATTTAGCCCAAGAAAGAAATTATGCTTGGTTTTCTTGAACCCTGTAAGGTCCCCAAGACTAAAGAGTATTTCAGATAGATGATGATTGGTATAATGCTAAAAAGATGACTTCAGGAATTTATTCCCTTTTAATAAAGGAGAAAGATGACAAATAGGTGTGAAAGAAAGTAATCTAAGGGCCAGCCATGGTGGCTCACGTCTATAAATCCCAGCCCTTTGGGACGCCAAGGTGGGCAGATCACATGATGCCAGGAGTTCGAGAACAGCCTGGCCAACAGGACTCTACTAAAAATAGAAAAATTAGCCAGGTATGGTGATGTGTGCCTATAATCCTAGCTACTCCAGAGGCTGAGGCAGGAGAATTGCTTGAACCCAGGAGGTAGAGGTTGCAGTGAGCTGAGACTGCGCCACTGCACTCCAGCCTTGGTGCTGAAGCAAGACTGTCTCCAAAAAAAAATCACAAAAACAAAAGAACAAAAACAAAGTAATCCAAATTTTAAAAATTATCTTCTATCAAACAGTAGAATTGTAGAATTCAGTGTCGGACTCCTTCAGGTAATCATATTTTCATTCAGTTGGGAAAAGAAGTTTTGACAGGTTGGAGAGTTCGGAAGGTAGGCCTGGATAGAACATTTTAGGCAAGCAAAGGAAACAAAAAGTCTCAGAAACAAGGAAGCAAGAAAGAAGGAGATTCTAAAAGAGAAATGAGAGAATCTCAAACACAGGCTTTTGCCTCACTATGGACTGAATGTTTGTGTTCCCTGAAATTCATATGTTGAAGCCCCAACCAACACAGCACCTTCATGGAAGTAATTTAGGTTAAATGAAGTCATAAACAGTAGAGCCCTAATCCAACAGGAGTGTCCTTCTAAGAAGAGATGAGACAGCCAGCTCTCCCCACCATGTAAGGACACATTGCAAAGGTGGCCATCTGCAATCTAGCAAGGGAGTCCTCACCAATAGTGTAATTGGCTGGCACCCTGATTTTGGACCTCCTAGCCTCCAGAACTGTGAGAAAATAACTATCTGTTGTTTAAGCCACCAGTCTATAGTATTTTGTTATGGACGTCTAAGCAGGTAGACAAATACATGCCTGCTTTGTAGTTTTGCCCAGGGGAGCCAATGAATCTCTTTTAAAAAACAAAAGAAAACCCATCAATACCTAAATTGTCAGGATTCGTTTGAAAGGCTATAAAAGTCAGCTTCCTTCCATACATTTTCATCCCAGACTCTTGAGACTAGAAAAGTCCAGTCAGTGTTTTTTTATACCTCTTCTCCACGAAGAGGAAGAAGGCAAGAGAAAAAGGAGAGAAAAGAACATGAGCTCAGGTACCCCTCCCTGCTATGGTATGATGATGATGTAAGCAGTAGTAGTCAGTAACCAATCTGATCACCAGACCTTTAGAACATATTTGTCAAGAAGACCTGTTGGTTTTTTTTGAGACAGAAAACTCTGTCTTGTTGTCCAGGCTGAAGTGCAGTGTCATGATCTTGGCTCACCGCAACTTTTGCCTCCTGGATTCAAGCAATTCTCCTGCCTCAACCTCCTGAGTAGCTGGAATTACAAGGATGTGTCACCAGGCCCGGCTAATTTTGTATTTTTAGTATAGACAGTGTTTCTCCACATTGGTCAGGCTAGTTTCGAGCTCCCAACCTCAGGTGATCTGCCCACCTAAGCCTCCCAAAGTGCTGGGATTACAGGCATGAGCCACCATGCCCAGCTGGAAGATCTGTTTTTAAAGCAATAACAAATTCAAGTACCAGTCATTGGTATATGTGTTTCAAGTACTATGCCATATTAATAGTTTACTTGCAGCAGTGACTCAGAGTTTCCTGTATTAAGAACACCTAAGGTCTTCATGGAAATTGTTATAACAAAATTCTGAAAAATAGATTAGTAGATATCATTTTAGATAAAGACTTTAATTAGCTGAGCTTAGTGGTGCATGCCTATAGTACCAGCTACTCGGGAGGCTGAGGCAGGAGAATTACTTGAACCCAGGAGGCTGAGGTTGCAGGGAACCGAGTCTGTGCTACTGCACTGTAGCCTGGAGAAAAGAGCATGACTCAGTCTCAAAATAAAAAATTTAAAAACACTTTAAAATGGTACATGGCACTGTAGAAAAATGTTTTTATCATTGAAATTACATATTAAATAAACCTTGAGAAATTTTGAGACAAGTATATTTTTAAGAATATTATTGCAAATCCTTTGTATTTATTCAATAAATAAATTTTTGACAGCCTACTATGTGCAAATACTGTCAGAATTTGTTCCTATATATCAGAATTTTGATTAATAGCACTGTATTTGTTTAAACTGAGGTAAAACAAATCAAAGCAAAATTGTATGTTCCTTCTGCAGTATACCTAAATATGCCTTACCTAGTAAAGAAAATTGTAGCTTCTGCATCTGTAGTTTGGGGTTGAAGTGCATCTCTAACATACTTCAAATCTTGAATACATGTAAGTTCTGGTAACCCTGAAGGAATCATCTGTAGAAGAAAACAAAAAGTTATGTGAGTTAAATTTTTAAAAAAGTTTGTTCCCCACTTCTTCCTGCAGGCAAGTAATCAGAACTAAAGCAAACAAAAACAATCAGTTTTGAGGGGTTCATTAGTATATTGGGGACTTAAGTGATTATCTTATAAATAAGGGAATGGAGGGCAAGGCACTCAAGCAATTTGTTGGAGGTTACAAAGCCAGTTTCACATGAGAGCCAGACCTCCTTTTGCTTGGCCCTTTTTTTTTGTCACCCAGGCTGGAGTGAAGGGGTGCAATCTTGGCTCACTGGATCCTCTGCCTGCTGGGTTCAAACAATTCTCCTGCCTCGCCTCCCGAGTAGCTGGGATTACAGGTGCGTGCCACCACGCCTGGTTAAATTTTTTGTATTTTTTGTAGAGATGGGGTTTCACCATGTTGGCCAGACTGGTCTTGAACTCCTGACTTCATTACCCATTTGCCTTAGCTTCCCAAAGTGCTAGGATTACAGGAGTGAGCCACCACGCCCAGCCTTTTTTTGGTATTTTTGATAGAGATGGGGTTTCACCATGTTGTCCAGATTGGTCTTGAACTCTTGATCTCAAGTAGTCCGCCTGCCTCAGCCTCCCAAAGTGCTGGGATTACTGGCGTGAGCCACTGCAACTGGCCTCGGCCTCTGTTTTCACTTTTATAGATTTAGGGGGTACAAGTACAATTTTGGTATAGGTATGTATCACATAGTGGTAAAGTCTGGGCTTTTAGTGTATCACATGAATAGTATACATTATACCCACTAAAATAACTTCTCATCTCCCTCAACCCCCTTCCTACCCTTCCAAGTCTCCAAAGTCTATTATTCTACTCTTTATGTCCATGTGTACATATTATTTAGCTCCCACTCATAAGTGAGAACACTGAATATTTAACTGAGTTATTTCACTGAAGATCACTGTATCCTTCTGTCTATTACCATATCAATTTATTCATAATAATCACAGTGGGTTTGTTTTTGTTTTCTTTTTGCTTAACTATAATAAATATCCACTAAAGTACAGAAATCTTCATCGTACAGCTGAGTGAATGTTCACAATTCGCACCCACATTAATACACAAAACATTCATTAGCATCTCAAATGCCCACCTCAAGGTCCAGTTACTAATTCTTCCCATCCCAAGGGTAGCCACTCTACTAACTTATTTTTTGTATTTTATACAAATGAAGTCAGACAGTAGGTACTCTTGTGTCTGGCTCATTTCACACAGCAATAAGTTTAAAATATTTGAGCAATAACGTATCTGACATTTGTGACTACATCAAATCTTATTCCAAAATCACAAAATAATCTTTTTTAGATATGGAAACATAGATACATTAATATAAAAACTATTTAAATGCTTATGAAGAATAGTTACCAGTGAAAGGAGGTTAAGAAAAAGGTTTGTCTGCTTTCTTATCAAGTTGTAGGCCTGACAGCAGAGGTCCACAAACAACTGAAAACGAATGGTGGGCTTTTCACCCCCATTAATGACATATGCCATATCAGAGGTCAGCACAAAAGGAGCCCGATCCCTATTTAAAATGAAAGTACATACAAAAATATTATTTACAGAAGATACTCCAGTAGTGCTATTGCATGATTATTAAACTATCTGAGGTACAGCGATTTCCAACTAGGAAACTTAATATCACACACTTTTGAATTTCCATAATTCTTTAACACTTTTCAAGAAGGCTATCACATAGTAACTTCATTATTTAGAGAGAACTTATATATGAAATTTCCTTATATATGAAAATAAGGTGGTATTTATAAATCCATATATCTAAAGAGAGATCAAACAGTAGTTACAAATATAGAAAACTACTTACTGCCATTATACACATGAAACCATTTCTAAGAGTTACTGCTAACTAGATGAAAAAATTTATATGTATCCTAATTCATTTCAACAAAGTTTATACACACACGCATTCTTGTCTACTATGTGGTAAGGTCATATCTTTGGGCCTTTTTCATCCCAAGTTATGCTCAAATGAAGCCACAAGAAAAAAACATAGAAAGGCAAAAGGCAAGGTTTGAGACAAACCTTAATTTTTACAACAAGAAGTGCCTCTTTTCTTTGGCAACAGCAATAATAACAATATTATACCTTTTGAAGCTGCCAAACATCTGTGCATGTCCCAAAAACTTTCCAAAGTCAATGTGAAACATATGTCCTGTGCTTCGAAGCATTATATTGTCATTGTGCCGATCACAGATGCCTAAAACATAGGTGGCTACACAGCATCCAGCACAGGAATAGATAAAGTTCTCTGAAGCCTATAAAAAACATATATAATTATTTTAGAAAATGAATTATTTTTAAAAGAGGCAGGGTTTATAAAGATTAAAGTAGTCTATCACTCTTTAAAAACACTATTGCAATTCACTCTCTCAATAGCATACAAATTGGGATATAGTAATAAAAGCCGACCTTTTCATATTCCAAAAACAAAAACACTTTTCTAAAGGTGGTTACTGCCCCTTCTCTAACTTTTCTCTTTTAAAAGTCTGGGATCCCTACCAGTCCATATTTAGGTATGTGCTGCCTTTGAACAGCTTTTAAGCATCATGTTTGTGGAATCCTGCACCTCACTGACTCTGCTGCTTAGAGCTGGTGAGGTGCAGGATTCCGCAAATACGATGGTAGAAGATTTTTGCTTTTTTTCCTTTCTGCCTGTAGTTAAGGACATGTGTAAGGAAAATCAGCTTATATCTGAAAACATCCAAGAATACAAGTAATGTATTTTGTTTCCCATTTGGTGATTCCCTGTGTGTCATCTTAAATCTTGCCTCTCCTGGGGATTATTAAAATTACTAATATAATATCATATAGAAGGATACAGCAAGATGCATACAATGAGGTTTTTCTTTAAAACATTTGTATTAGTTTATCTATATAAAAGACTATATTTCTGAGTAGTACATTCATTTGGCCTGACTTGCCCACATAGTTAATTCTATTCCATAATTCCCCAGAAATCATTACCAATGATAATAATAGCAAGTATTTATACAGCATTTAGCACAAACCAGGCACTTCTCTCTCTCTGAGTGTGTGTGTGTGTGTGTGTGTGTGTGTGTGTGTGTATGAAATGAACTCATTCTTTTTTATGGCTGCAAGCCTTTTAAAAAGTTATAGTTTTCAACCTTTGACATAAGAAACCAGCTAGCAATTGTTACTTTCAAAAAAATTCAAGTCTGGCCGGGCGCAGTGGCTCACGCCTATAATCCCAGCACTCTGGGAGTCCAAGGCAGGTGGATTGCTTGAGGTCAGGAGTTTGAGACCAGCCAGGCCAACATGGTGAAACCTCATCTCTACTAAAATATATATTTAGAAACTCACAACAAATCAATAACTTAGGTATGAACATCGTAACCACTGTACAGATGGAAAACTGAAACAGAGGTTGTTTGCCCAAGATCACATAATTGTTAAGTGGCACAGTGAGGATTCAAATCCAGGCAATATGACTTCACTAAGTTATATTCCTTCTTACCTATTAAATGCATTAAAAAGGCAAATGCATAAAAGGTGCTTAATATACGCTATTGGCAATTATTTCCTTACCAATAATAACAAAAGGGCCAACATTACTAAAACAAGTATTGGCTTCTGCTGCACTGCTTTTTACCCCAGATCACAAAGAATTAAGAAAAGGGAGTGATCTCACAGTTCAAAAGATCAAACAAGGCCGGGCGCGGTGGCTCAAGCCTGTAATCCCAGCACTTTGGGAGGCCGAGGCGGGTGGATCACAAGGTCGAGAGATCGAGACCATCCTGGTCAACATGGTGAAACCCCGTCTCTACTAAAAACACAAAAAAGTAGCTGGGCATGGTGGCGCTTGCCTGTAATCCCAGCTAGTCAGGAGGCTGAGGCAGGAGAATTGCCTGAACCCAGGAGGCGGAGGTTGCGGTGAGCCGAGATCGTGCCGTTGCACTCCAGCCTGGGTAACAAGAGCAAAACTCCGTCTCAAAAAAAAAAAAAAAAAAAAAGATCAAACAAAGGTCAAAATTCCCCTGCATTAGCTTTGTAGGTCAACAGATGACACATGTATATCAATAAAGGTGATCCATTAATGAAACATAAACCAGGCAGCTCCATGACATTAAAATGGGAGTTTTCTTCTATCACCACTCAGTGTTCTTGGGTCTTCCTTAGGCCACGTTAACATCATTAGAGGCCTTATGTCCTCAGAGATAACCCTGCCCTCATATGTAATTCAAAATAATAGTAAAACAGAAAATTGATGTTTCCAATAAGAAAAAGAGCTATCAATTATACAATTTTCACTACGCAGTGCTTTATATATATTAACTCATTTAATTTTCACAAAAATCTTATTGATGCATATGTTTACAGCCATAGTATGTGCTATACCATAACATATACAGTATTTTATAGCAGAGGTCACTGAGGCACACAGATGTTAAATAATTTGCAGAAGGCCCTGTTGCTGCTGAGTGACTTGGGACCTAAATTCAAGCCCAAAGAGTTTGGCCCCTAATTTATGTTCTTAACTATCACATGATACAGCCTATTTTACTCATTTCCCTAACTTCTTCCAAGATCTTTGGGAAATAAAACATTTTGCGTTAGAAAAATGCCTCTGTTTCGCTGGCCTCTAAGTATGTGTTTGGAATGCGTTTTTTTTTTTGGGTAAGTTAGCATCGGTTTCACTCAGATTCCTGCCATTAAATGCATTCTGTTTTACATTTCTTCCTATATGTAGAAAAAGATGCTCTTTTCCTGACTTAGACTAAATGACTAGTTGGAAAATGAAAGCACTTAAAACCTTTGTAATAAATACATTTTTGATAAAGTTTTTTAGAAACTTTGAGGAGACCTGCTAATTACCTTTTCATATTCTTCTTCAGAGGGATTGTATTTTCTTAGCCACTCTGCAAGTGGTTTATCTTTAAAGGATCCTGTCACACCATATTCCACTTGGATTTTCCTGAGGGTATCGGAAGCAGGAACCAGCTCCACCATGCCTTTAATGACAAAATATTAAGCTATGTAAAACTGTCTCCCCAAAGCAAGCTTTAAACATTTAGAAAATTATTACTTTTTAAGTTCTGGGATACATGTGCAGAATGTGCAGGTTTTTTATATAGGTATACATATGTCATGGTGGTTTGCTGCACCTGTCAACCCATCATCTAGGTTTTAAGCCCTGCCGTGCATTAGGTATTTGTCCCAATGCTCTCCCTCCCCTTGTCCCCTACCCCTCAACGGGCCCCAGTATGTGATGGTCCCCTCCCTGCCACCATTCGTTCTCATTGTTCAATTCCAACTTATGAGTGTGCATATGACGTGTTTGGTTTTCTGTTCCTGTGTTAGTTTGCTGAGAATGATGGTTTCCAGCTTCATCTATGTCCCTGCAAAAGAAATGAACTCATTCTTTTTTTATGGCTGCAAGCCTTTTAAAAGTTATGGTTTTCAATCTTTGACATCAGAAACCAGCTAGCAATTGTTACTTTCAAAAAATTCAAGTCTGGCCAGGCACAGTAGCTCATGCCTGTAATCCCAGCACTCCCGGAGGCTGAGGCGGGTGGATTGCTTGAGATCAGGAGTTCAAGACCAGCCTGACCAACATGGTGAAACCTTGTCTCTACCAAAAATATAAAAATTAGCTGGGTGTGGTGGCAGGCACCCGGGAGGCAGAGGTTGCAGTGAGCCAAGATCATGGTACTGCACTCCAGCCTGGGCAACAGAGCCAGAATCTGTCTCAAAAAAAAAAAAAAAAAAAAAAAATCAGGTCTTGCTGAGCATGATGGCTCATGTCTATAATCCCAGCACTTTTGGAAGCTGAGGCTCCAAAAAAAAGTGAGGGTGGATCACTTGAGCTCAGGAGTTTGAGACCAGCCTAGCCAACACAGTGAAACCCCACTGCTACTAAAAATAGAAAACTTAACCAGGCACGGTGACACACACCTGCAGTCCCAGATACTCAGGAGACTGATGCATGAGGATCACTTGAACCCAGGAGGCAGAGGTTGCAGTGAGTTGAGATCACACCACTGCACTCCAGCCTGGGTAACTGAGTGAAACCTTGTCTTTAAAAAAAAAAAAAAAAAAAAAAAAAAAATCAAATCTGGCCGCCAATCAAAATTATTCTTTATTTTCAAAAGTATCCAACATGTAAACATCAATTTTGTCTATTTGAGACTCTAATCTGTACAGCCATGTGCTAATCCCCAAAGGAAAACTAGCTGAGATCACAGGTGGCTGCCAGCATGCCCAGCTAATTTTGGTTTGTTTGTTTGTTTTAGTTGAGACAGGGTTTCACCATGTTGGCCAGGGTGGTCCTGAACTCCCAACCTTCAGTGATCCACCTGTCTGGGCCAAAGTACTGGCATTATAGATGTGAGCCATGGCACCTGGCAAAGAAAACTATTTTAACAACAAACAAGAAGACACTGACCTTGCTGGTAAAGTAAGATACACACTGTCCCACTTCAGCACAAAAAAATTTCTTTAATCATATATTTGGGCACGATAAGAATTTTTCAGAATATATTAAACACTTTTTAAATTTTTATTTATTTATTATTATTATTTTTTTAATTTTTATTATTTGACCTGGATTTTACAACCATACATTAAACACTTTCAAAGGGAAGAACAGATGAAGACTGACCTTGTAATATGATTAAATCTCAGGTATATGTTTTGGCCTCCTAATTGAAATGTAAATGCCTCGCTGAACAAATTGTTTTTTGTTTTCTCTCCGACTCCTTTAAAACGAGCGTCAAATAAATTATGTGTGTTTACACAAAAGAAAACAATGAGGAAGGAATTATGTGCTTTGATAGAAAAATCTCAAAAATAATGTTATTTAAAGACAAAATCCAGATGGAGAACTATACTATTGCGTTTGAAAAGAAAGATGGTTGTGCACATAGAATATACCCGAAACATTTCCAGAAGGCTACATAAGTGGTTATATTGTGGAAAGAGGGCACCTAGAATTGAGGATGAAGCTATGAGAGAAAACTAACATTTACTTTTCAATTTATTTTATTATATGCTATCTGGATATTTTACTATGTGAAAGTATTATGTATACAATTAAAAATTAATTTGATATATTTTTAAAATGAGGGAGATGCATTTGCATTAAAATAAAATATATGAAAACAGAGCTCTGCTTTGGACAAAGGATTAGAGGAAACAGAAGTTGACCAAGGCTGCCAGGGAACCCCAACAGAAAGTATGCAGGACCAGGTTCTAATTCTAGTCTAGTCTCACATGGCATAATGAATTCATTTGGCTCCTTTTTCTTTTTGGTTGTTTTCTGAGACAGTGTCTTGCTCTGTTGCCCAGCTGCAGTGCAGTAGTGCCATCTTGGCTCACTGCAACCTCCGCCTCCTGGGTTTAAGTGATTCCTGTGCCTCAGTCTCCCAAGCAGCCAGGACTACATACATTCACCACCATGCCTGACTAATTTTTTGTTTTTTTGTTTTTTTGGTTTTTTTTGAGACAGAGTTTCACTCTTGTTACCCAGGCTGGAGTGCAATGGCGCGATCTCGGCTCACCACAACCTCCGCCTCCTGGGTTCAGGCAATTCTCCTGCCTCAGCCTCCTGAGTAGCTGGGACTACAGGCACGCGCCACCATGCCCAGTTGATTTTTTGTATTTTTAGTAGAGACGGGGTTTCACCATGTTGACCAGGATGGTCTCGATCTCTTGACCTCGTGATCCACCCACCTCGGCCTCCCAAAGTGCTGGGATTACAGGCGTGAGCCACCGCGCCCGGCTCTGATTAATTTTTTATATTTTTACTACAGGTGGGCTTTCACCATGTTGGCTAAGCTGGTCTCGAACTTCTGGCCTCAAATGATCCACATGCCTTGGCCTCCCAAAGTGTTCATTTGGCACTTCTTCTTGGTTGTACCACCTAGTTTTCAGTTCACAGTGACATCCTTTTTCAGTGAGTACCTCCATCCCAATTCTGTGACTCAGCCAATTACTACATACAAAACAGCAAGCCATGCTTGGTAGCTCATGCCTGTAATCCCAACACTTTGGGAGGCCAAGGTGGGCAGATCACCTGAGGCCGGGAGTTCGAGACAGCCTGACCAACATGGAGAAACCCCATCTCTACTAAAAATACAAAATTAGCTAAGCATGGTGGCACATGTCTGTAATTGTAAACTGGGATTACTGGCATGCCTGTAATCCCAGCTACTTGGGAGGCTGAGGCAGAAGAATTGCTTGAACCCAGGAGGTGGAGTTTGCAGTGAGCCACGATCATGCCACTGCATTCCAGCCTGGGCAACAAGAGCAAAACTCCGTTTCAGAAATTTAAAAAAAAAAAAAAAAACAGTGGACCAAAATTCATAGGCCATTTAAAGTACTACCATCTAGATAAGACAGTCCCAACCCTGAGGGATCCCATAATCAATCCAGTGAGGAGGATATAAAACATGCGGAAAGAAAAATTAAGTAAGGTAATATAAAATAAATGGTGAGTATTAAAGACAACTGCTGAGCTCAAAGAAGGGAGAGATTATTACAGGCTGAGGTGTTTGTCAAAAACCTCACAGAGGATGTGGCTGTGATTTCCTCTTCCTCATGTGAAAAATAAGGATACAGTGAGATTGACAAAAATGAAAAGCTTAGCACAGGGCAAGACACACAGTAAACACTCAACCATTAGTTAGAAACAACATAAAGGGAATCTGATTGGATTATCTTTTTGGAATTCCAAAATGAGAAGAGGAAGTTCAGTTATGAACTTTATAAACCAAAGTTCGGTTTATTAAGAAAAAAAAAACTGAGATGACAGACTCGTACCGAGGAGCTGTTTTTTTTGTTGTTATTGTTGTTGTTGTTTTTGAGACAGGGTCTCTCTGTCTCCCAGGCTGGAGTAATGTGTGATCTCAGCTCACTGCAACCTCTGCCTCCGGGGCTCAGGTGATCTTCTCACCCAGTCAAGGAGTCTTTCTGATAAAACTTCCATCTTATATGATTTATATAAACAATAACCAGCAAGAATTCTTAAATTGACCTGATTTCCTTTTTGACAAGATAAAATTTGCACATCCAAACTTGAGCGAGAAAAGTTATAAGGCTCCCATACTGTCCTGATAGACAAACTGAAGAAATGTGAAGTGGTTGATAATACAATGAAGATGAGTAAGGAAAATGCTGCACTTGATTTAGCAATCACCTAAAGGGAGGTCCTTCCTTAATAGCATGCCAGGGGAGTTGGCTCTTGGCCCTTGTTTGGTAAACATTTTTCCCAATGACTTAGCAGAAGCTATAGAATATACAACTTTCAAATCTGTTCATGATACAAACTAAGAAGTTCAATGGCAGATAACAAAAATCAGATTTTATTTTATTATAATATATATTTTAATAGGAGTTTCCTGGTAAAGACCAGAAAATCTGCTACACAATTTTTTTTTTTTTTTTTTTTTTTTTTGAGACAGAGTTTCACCCAGGCTGGAGTGCAATGGCTTGGTCTTGGCTCACCACAACCTCTACCTCCTGGGTTCAAGTGATTCTCCTAACTCAGCCTCCTGGGTAGCTGGGATGACAGGCATGTGCCACCACACCTAGCTACTTTTGTATTTTTAGTAGAGACAGGGTTTCTCCATGTTGGTCTCGAACTCCCAACCTCAGGTGATCCACCCGCCTCAGCCTCCCAAAGTGCTGGGATTGTAGGAGTGACCCACCATACCCGGCCTCTGCTACACGAATTCTAAAAGAGCTGTAACAGTCAAAAGCAGGTTTTAAAAAGAACTCAACAAACTGAAAAGTAATGTATCAAATATAGCAAAGTTAATACCTAACACCTTACACATGGGTCTAAGATACAAAAATGTACAAGTACATAGCTGGGCACAGTGGTACAAGCCTATATCCCTGCCACTTGGGAGGCTAAAGTAGGAGGATTGCTTGAGCCGAGTTTGAAGCCGGCATGGGCAACATAGTGAGAACCCTGTCTTTATGAAAAATTTTAAAAATTAGCTGAGTGTGGTGGCATGTCACTACAGGTGCATGCCATCATACCTAGCTAATTTTGGGAGGCTGAGGGAAGTAGACTGTTTGAGCCCAGGAGTTTGAGGCTGCAGTGAGCTATGATCACAACACTGCACTCCAGCCTGAGTTACAAAGTAAGATCCCATCTCTGAAAAGATGGCCAAGACATGGCTTAGCAGGAGCTGGTATGATGATGACTTACTGATTTTATTTGTGACACTATGTCCACCCTTATGTATTCTACAAAATCCAGGTGCCATTTTTAGAGGCAACAGATTGCCTGAACCATTTGCAAGGAGAATAATAAGGCAATTTAAAGTAATCTTTCACAAATGGCTGAAGAATTTGGAATTCAGTATCTGAGGCCACAATATTCGTCAGAGTGAAGAAGGATTTAACTTAATTATATGACAGTCTCTGAGCAGAACTGGAACTAATGGGTAAAAGGCATCAGAACTTAGTCCCCATTATTCACCTGAATATGAAAAAGAAATCTATAGCCATCAGAGCTATCCAGAATAAAATGAACTGCCTTGAAAAGCAATGAATTCCCTTCACTGTATGGATTTAAGCATAAATTGAATGGCAAATATTGGAAGGATGATTAAGATAATCTTTCAGGTGACTTCCTAGTGTCTATGCATAGAAACTATGAAACATTTCTCATTTCCATCAACAGCGGATGATCTTTCTCTCCTTTAAAACCTGAAAGTATTGCTTTTATAACTCTCTTAGAGCTTTCAGCTTATTAAAGCATACTCTGATTACGTGAACATATTATTGCTTCCTTCTAAAATGTAAGTACCACATATTCTTAGCATTTTATAGATGGTAAACAAACGTGTTGACTAAGAATAATGATGGCTGCTATTTATTAAGCACATAATACATATCAGATATTAGGATGTTTTACATTATTTCAAAACGTAGTTAATAAACATTAAGATAGAAATCTGCTATTAGTAGAAGAGAACTTTGTATGATTTTATTTTACAAAAATGAAATCACAGTTGGTTTAATTTAGATATGGCCTTATTTATTTATTTATTTTGAGACAAGGTGTCACTCACTGTGTTACCCAGATTGGAGTGCAGTAGCATGATGACGGTTTATTGAAGCCTTAACCTCTCAGGCTCAAGTAATCTTCCCAGCCCATCCTCCAGAGTAACTAAGGCTATTTACCTTTTTTTGTAGAGACAGGGTCTCCCTATATTGCCTGGCTGGTCTCAACCTCCTAGACTCAAGTGATCCTCCTGTCTCAGCCAAAATGCTGGGATTACAGGTGAGAGCCACTGCACTCAGAGATATGGTCTTATTTTTAAGTTTAAAAGCTAAATACCATGAAGTCCTCACTGGGTCAATTAATGGACACCTCTGGTTACTGCAAAGCATTTATTTACGGTACTCACTAAGTTATTTTATTTATTTATTTATTTATTATTTATTTTGAGACAGAGTCTTGCTCTGTCACCCAGGCTGGAGTGCAGTGATTCGATCTTGGCTCACTGCAGCCTCTGCCTCCCAAGTTCAAGCTATTCTCCTGCCTCAGCCTCCCAAGTAAGTGGGATTACAGGGACACACCACCACACCCAGCTAATTTTTGCATTTCCAGTAGAGACAAGGTTTCACCATGTTGCCCAGGCTGGTCTCAAACTCCTGACCTCATGTGATCCACCCGCCTCCCAAAGTGCTAGGATAACAGACGCTAGCCACCATGCCCAGTCACTAAGTTATTTTTAAAAGAGACTTAATTATGAGCAACTGAATCAATAAAGTAACACCAGATTAAAATAAGAAACAACCGTGATCCCAAAGCATCTGCAGCAGGACCCTTAAGGCAGGTACACTTTAAGCTAAGTTCAAGGAAAAAAATAAGATATCAAGACACAGCTAATAGACTTACCTCGATCTCTGCCAGTTGAGAGACATTTGAAAATTACCATCCTCAGATCTAGACCTTCTTTAAGCCAGATCTTATCCATAATCTTTATCATCTGTAAAGCTAACATATCTTGCCGAAGATCTTCCCCAACCTTGAAATCAAGGAAACAAAATGAAACTTGTACATTTCTAAAAGACTTAGTAGATTACATACTATGAAAGCTGGCTGGACGCGGTGGCTCATGCCTGTAATCCCAGCACTTTGGGAGGCCGAAGTGGGTGGATCACCTGAGGTCAGGAGTTTGAGATCAGCCTGGCCAGCATGGCAAAACCCCGCCTCTACTAAAAACACAAAAATTAGTTGGGCATGGTGGCACATGCCTGTAAGATGAACAGAACTGTCTTTTTTTCTGCAGTATTCTAGGGAAAAGTACTTAACCTCTTCATGTGTCAGTTCCCTGAACTGTATACTTTAAAAGCTTCAGTTTTATGGTATGTGAATTATATTCAATTCTTTATTTTTAGAGACTGAGTCTTGCTCTATCGCCCAGGCTGGAGTGCAGAGGCACGGTCTCGGCTCACTGCGACCTTGGCCTCCCAAGTTCAAGTAATTCTTCTGCCTCAGCTTCCAGAGTAGCTGGGATTATAGGTGCCCACCACCAAGCCAGGCTAATTTTTGTATTTTTAGTACAGATAGGGTTTCGCCATGTTGGCCAGGCTGATCTCAAACTCCCGACCTCACGTGATCTGCCTGCCTCGGCCTCCCAAAGTGCTGGGATTACAGGCATGTGTCACTGTACCCAGCCTATATTCACCTTTTTAAAAAGGCAACATGGAGAATCTTTGTGATGATGAAATGTTCTGTATTTTGACTGTATCAATGCCAATACCCTGATTGTGATATTAGTTATACAAGATGTTACTATGAAGCATAGTACACAGGATTTCTCTGTACAGTTACAATTGCCTATGAACTTACAATTATCACAAAATGAAAACTTTACTTAAAAAAATTAACCCTCCCAAAATGAATTATTTTTTAATAAAATCTGAACAAGTTTTCATTTTCTTTTTTTTTTTTTTTTTGAGACGGAGTTTTGCTCTTGTTACCCAGGCTGGAGTGCAATGGCGCGATCTCGGCTCACCACAACCTCCGCCTCCTGGGTTCAGGCAATTCTCCTGCCTCAGCCTCCTGAGTAGCTGGAATTACAGGCATGTGCCACCATGCCCAGCTAATTTTTTGTATTTTTAGTAGAGACGGGGTTTCACCATGTTGACCAGGATGGTCTCGATCTCTCGACCTTGTGATCCACCCGCCTCGGCCTCCCAAAGTGCTGGGATTACAGGCTTGAGCCACCGTACCCGGCCCTTCATTTTCTTTTTTAAACTGAATAAAATAATTTAAAAACACAAATAATGAATACATTCTGAGACTAGGAAAGAAAATTATGGAACAGAAAAAGGAGAACTTGCCTTAAAAAATATTAAAACTGGGCCGGGCGTGGTGGCTCACGCCTGTAAACCCAGCACTTTGGGAGGCTGCGGTGGGTGAATCACCTGAGGTCAGGAGTTTGACAACAGCCTGGCCAAGATGGTGAAACCCTGTCTCTACTAAAAATACAAATTAGCTGGGTGTGGTAGCACATGTCTGAAACCCCAGCTACTTGGTAGGCTGAGACAGGAGAATCACTTGAACCTGGGAGGTGGAGGTTGCAGTAAGCTGAGATCACACCATTGGACTCCAGCCTGGGCAACAAGAGCGAAACTCCATCTCAAACAAACAAATAAATAAATAAATAAATAAATAAATACTTAACACATAAAATTCTTGTATTCAAAACAGATGTTACCAGTTTAGGAAAAGGCACCTATATTAATAAAACAAAATATAGAGTTCAAAACCAGATCTGAGTACACAGGAATTTATCACATGTATCAAAGGTGGTTCAGTAGAAGGAATATTTATGAACCTCCACATATCCAACTCGTTGAATTAACTAAAATTCTTCATCCTTTCAAAATATACAAATCATGATCAAAACACATAAAATCTTTGGCCAGGCACAGTGGCCCATGCCTGTAATCCCAGCACTTTGGGAGGCTGAGGTGGGCAGATCACCTGAGGTTAGGAGTTCAAGACCAGCCTGGCGAACATGTATTTTTAGTCTCTATTAAAAATACAAAAATTAGAGGCCGGGCACGGTGGCTCAAGCCTGTAATCCCAGCACTTTGGGAGGCCGAGGCGTGTGGATCACAAGGTCAAGAGATCGAGACCATCCTGGTCAACATGATGAAAACCTGTCTCTACTAAAAATACAAAAAATTAGCTGGGCATGGTGGCGCATGCCTGTAATACCCAGCTACACAGGAGGCTGAGGCAGGAGAACTGACTGAACCTAGGAGGTGGAGGTTGCCGTGAGCCGAGATCGCCCCATTGCACTCTAGCCTGGGTAGCAAGAGTGAAACTCTGTGTCAAAAAAAAAAAAAAAAAAAAAAAAAATTAGCCAGGCATGGTGGCAGGTGCCTGTAATCTCAGCTACTTGGAGGCTGAGACAGGAGAACTGCTTGAACCCGGGAGGCGGAGGTTGCAGTGAGCCAAGACCGTACCACTGTACTCCAGCCTGAGCATCAGAGCAAGACTCTGGCTCAAAAAAATAAATAAAATAAAATAATTTTTAAAATATTAATTAAGCAAAATCACCTTTGCAATTCTGGAAAAGTAATTTGATAAAACAATTTCTAAATTGCCATTTAAAAAATAGTAACATTATTTACTTACCTTAAACATGACATTAATTTCTTCTCCCATAGGGTCAGCATTCACCATTGTGACTTTTAGGGGGACAGCATTGGAACTGAAGAAGGAACACGACTGCAAATACAACATGTTAAGCATTAGAAAGATAACCTAAATAAAAATTAATTTAGAAATTTTTTTGTCCCAGGCATTTCCCCTTTCACTTGTTCCTTTGTGTCTTGTTTTTAAATTTATTTTTTATTTTTATTTCTGTTAGAGACAGGGTCTTGCTCTGTTACCCCGGCTGGAATGCAATGGTGCAATCATAGCTTCCCGCAACCTTTAACTCCTGGGCTCAAGTGATCCTCCTGCCTCAGTCTCCTGAGTAACCGGGACTACAGGTATATAGCATCACACCCAACTGAATGCTTGTTTTTTTAAATTACAGCAAATGAAATACCATGAAAATTGCTTTTTCATTTTATTATTTATATTTTATGAGACAGAATTTTGCTCTTGTTGCCCAGGCTGGAGTGCAGTGGTATGATCTCGGCTCACTGCAACCTCTGCCTGCCGGGTTCAAGTGATTCTTCTCCCTCAGTCTCCTGAGAGTAGCTGCGATTACAGGTGCCTTCCACTATGTCCGGCTAATTGAGAATTAGCTCTCTGGCAGATAAGAGATGTACAATATACAAAAATACATTTTGAAACTTAAAATATCATCTCACTAGGCAGAGAAGCAAAACCTTGAGACACAAACTTTTAAAGTTTGAGCTTTGTAAAAATCTCAGTCCATCAACAGAACACAAAGTCTTGTGATACCCTTTTCCATCTTCTAAATCATTTTGATCTGAGATGAGATCTCCACTTCTGTTTATGTACTATTTTAATTAGCCATGGAAGTACTGACAAAACTTTTAAAATTTCATTAGTAAAGATCAAATCTTACTTTTAAAATAAAAGTGACTAAAAGCCAATTTAAGATGGTGAGACCAATCTAAATAAATGAAGCCCAAGGCAGTAAATAATTTCACGATTTTTTTTTTTTTTTGAAAAAGTGGTGGTTAGGTAAAAAATAAGCTAAGATACACATGGATACTAATCACAACCATCCATGCTTATAATAAACCTCTACAGGTTTTACCTTCATTTGCCTTAAGCATACCTGCCCATTGCCTTCTTCCTATTATTTTCAAATGTAATATGAACTTATAAGTATGATATGTGTCACCTTAATATTTAATTCTTTTGCCACTAGACTTGGCTTGAGAGGGAGACGGCATTTATTTTTCTGAAAAAAGGACTGTACTCGTTCCATACTTCTTTGGAGAACAACCTGTAGAAAGAGATGTGACACTGTTAAGTACATAATGAAAATGAAGATCTATTTTTCCGACAAGTTATGCTGTGGATATAATTTATAAAATGCTCAGTTGTCAAATGGTCAAAAAAAGGTTGTTGCTAAAGAGAGTTAATTTTCACTATGAAACTGGAATGGTCAAGGCTATAAATATAGGGGGCAAAGGTACACTTGGCCAAGCAACGCATATAAAAATGTTAAACCTCACTAATAGTCAAAGAAATAGAAATCAAAACAAAAATGAATGCAATTTTTCATTTATCAGATTAAAATTTAAAACAACATCCAGTGTTAGGAAACAATTTCATAATCCATTGGTAGGGAAAGAGGTGTACGTAGGTGTAGCTTCTTTTGTAGAGGAATGTTAACAACTATTATAACTAAAAATATATGTGGCTCTTGACTCAGCTATTTGATCTGTAGGAATTTCCTGTAAAGAAATACTAGCAAAGAAGTAAAAATGTACACACCAACCAAAGTTCATTTCAGCATTGTTTGGTAAAGGGAAAATAGGTAAACAATGTATATAGAGGTAATAGTTTATAATTAAGATTATATGTAATATTTCCCCCAATTAATCTATAGTTCTTATCAAAATTCCAACTGCCTTTTTGCAGAAATGGACACACGGATCCTAAAATTCATGAAATTGCAAGTGTCCCCTGAACAGCCAAAATAATCTTGAAAAAGAATAAAGAATAAAAGAAAAGAGTAAAGTAGGAGAACTCACATTGTCCAATTTCAAAACTTACTTTAAAACTATGGTAATCAAAAAAGTATAGGCTGGGTGTGACGGTTCACACCTGTAATCCCAGGACTGTGGGAGGCCAAAATGGGAGGACTGCTTGAGCCCAAGAGTTCAAGACCAGCCTGGGCAACATGGCAAAACCCTGACCCTATAAGAAAAAACAAAAATAAAATTAGCCAGGCATGGTGGCAAATACCTGTGGTCCCAGTTACTTGGGAGGCTGAAGCGGGAGGATCACTTGAGCCCAAAAGGTTGAAGCTGTGGTGATTTGAGATCACACCACTGTTCTCCAGTGTGGGCAACAGAGAGAGACCTCGTCTCAAGGGGAAGAAAAAAAAATGAATATCATATGGATAGACAAATAGATGAATGAAATAGAATTGAGAGTCTAGAAAAAGCCGGGCGCGGTGGCTCAAGCCTGTAATCCCAGCACTTTGGGAGGCTGAGGCAGGTGGATCACGAGATCAAGAGATCGAGACCATCCTGGTCAACATGTTGAAACCCCGTCTCTACTAAAAATACAAAAAAAATTAGCTGGGCATGGTGGCGCGTGCCTGTAATCCCAGCTACTCAGGAGGCTGAGGCAGGAGAATTGCCTGAACCCAGGAGGCAGAGGTTGCGGTGAGCCAAGATCACGCCATTGCACTCCAGCCTGGGTAACAAGAGTGAAACTCCACCTCAAAAAAAAAAAAAAAAGAGAGTCTAGAAAAAAACCCATATATGTGGTCAACTAAATTTTTTTATTAAAAAAATTTTTAATGGAACACTTTATGAATCTGTATGTCATCCTTGTGTAGGGGCCATGCTCATCTTCTCTGTATCATTCAAATTTCAGTATATGTGCTGCCGAAGCAAGCACAGCATCAACTAATACTTGACAAGTACGCCAAACCATTCAAGAGGATGGAGGGGGTCACTTTAACAAATGGTGCTAAGACAACTGGATAACCTAATTCAGAAGAATGAAGTTGAACCTCTACTTGATACCACAAACTAAAATTAACTCAAAATGGATCAAAGATCTAAATATAAGAGCTAAAACTAGAAACACTTCAAAGAAAACACAGGTGTACATATTTATGGTATTAGATTTGATGATGGATTCTTACATATGACACTAAAAGCATGAGCCACAAAAGAAAAAAATAGATAAACTAGACTTCATCAAACTTAAACATTTTTGTATTCATATATTAAAGGACGCTATCAATGAAGTAAAAAGACAACTGCAGAATGAAAAAAAATACTTGCAAATAGCGTATTTGATACAGGTCTAGTATTGGAAATATATAAATAACTCTTAACAACATAACAACAAAAAGACAGTATAATTTAAAACGGGCAAAGGACTTTGAATAGATTTTTTCCAAATAAGAAATACAAATGGCCAACAAACACATGAGAATGTGCTCAATATTATTAGTTACTAGGGAAATACAAATCAAAACCACAATGAGACACTACTTCACATCCACTAGAATGGCTATAATAAACAAACAAACAAACAAACAAAAAACAATGTTGCTGAGAATGCGGAGAACTGGAACTCTTCTGTATTGCTGGTGGGAATATAAAATGATATAGCTGCTACAGACAATAATTCTATGATTCCCCAAAAAGTTAAGCACAGAACTACTATATGACCTAGCAATACCATTCCTAAGTGAAAAAGTTGTTTAAACAAAAGTTTATATATGAATATTCTAGCAGCATTATTCTTAATAGTCAAAAAGTGGAAACAACCCAAATATCCACCAATAGATGAATGGATAAACAAAATATGGACTATCCACACAATGAAACATTATTCAACCAAAAATGGCATGTAATCAACATGCTAGAACATAGATGATCTCTGAAAACTTTATGCTAAGTGAAAGAAACTAGATAGAAAAGGCCATGAAGTGTCCAGAATATCCATATAGAAGTACAGAAGTATCCATATAGAAACAAAACGGTTTAGTGGCTGGGAGGAGGGGGAAATGGTAACATGCTTTCTTTTTAGTGTGATGAAAATACTATGGACTTTGATAGTGTAGGTAAAGGAATGCAAAAAAATCAATTTTGATCAGAAAGGAAAAAATAAGCATGGGAAAAATCATTGATTTTAATAGGTTGTGAAATATTTTCCTATGTATTTTGAACAGTCTTTGAATTTATCTGCCCCAAATAGCATGGGTACAGTTAGAGTTCCATTGGGAGTCTACCAATAGAGTGGCAACTTAATTAGTCAGTACCATAAAGATCCTTCTTTAACATTAACACATTTATATTACCTTTTATGGGTACATACCTGTCTGGCTGATCCACTAGCCTGCCTTACTTTTTCTGCTGCTCCTCCTAAAAGCTGTACAAGCTTCGTCTGCTTTAGAAGTTCTTCTCTAAGTCGTTTTCCTCCTACTGAGAGGAGAGCACCCAAAACGTGTTCGTATCGGGTACTAAAGTGTATATCATGGAGGGCATCTTTGAGAAGCCTAATAAAGCAAAATATTTATGTTAGTCACTTCTGAGAACTAGATGACTCAGTGAATCTCCCTGAAAAATAACAAGTTCAATTTTTTTTTCTGTTTTTTTTTTTTTGAGACCAGGTCTGCCTTGTCAACCAGGCTGGAGTCCAGTGGCATGATCCTGGCTCACTGCAACCTTCACTTCCCTGGCTCAAGCAATCCTCCCACCTCAGCATCCCAACTAGCTGGAACCAAAGGCATATACCACCATGCTTGACTAATTTTTTTTTATTTTTGGTAAAGATGAGGTTTCACCATGTTGCTCAGGCTGGTCTCAAAATACTGAGCTCAAGTGATCCACTATCTTTGGCCTCCCAAAGTGCTGGGATTATGGGCATGAGCCACCACATCTCAATTTTTGATAACCAGGAATTTATTTTAAGCTATATAAGAAAATGAAAACCCAAGCATTATTATAGAGCTATAAGATATCAAATTTTTGCAATAAAGGATATATTTAGCTCCTTTAAAATAATGCCTTCAATAAAACATCTGGTATTCACAATAAGTAGTGTGGCATGCCATTTAGACTTACAGAGTATGCCATTTCTATAAATTTTAGGAATGGAAATAGTGATTAATAAAATTTAAATCTTACCAATATAAACTGTGTGCTATCTGGATATTTCCCAATGCCCTGGACAGAAGGAAGTGCACTAATGAACTATTCAAGTAAATTTCATATTTCAAAGCCTACACATAAAAGAAAATAAGAATTACTAGTGGTCAAATCCATACTAAATTGTTCCAACAAAACTATCAAAAGAGAAACTATATAAAGCAAGTATTACTCTTATTGATGAAAGATGATACTTATAAAAATCAAACAGAAACAGATGAATTATGCCAAATTAATGAAATCAAGCACAAAAGTATAGAATGAGTAACTGTCATTAGCTATGTTGAACTCACCAGTAAATAAGAATCAAGGAAAAGCTCAAGTCTAGTTTGTTCTAAAAAGTCTGAAAACTAAAAATATAGGTACCTACATACAATATTCAAATGGGGCAGATGACAATAATGGGAAAAAATTCACACTAAATCCAAATGCAATTTCCATCAATGTTCCCACACTACAAAACTGCTTTTAATCTAAACAAAGGGGGATACCTAGGTAAGTTCCCATCAAAAATTAGAGAGAAAGTATAAAGGGAGGTTATCTAGTAAACAAAAAAACTCACTTGTACAAACTGTGGAAGAAGATCTGTTAGCTCATCATCACTAATGGCCTCAATCCAGGTCACAGCTAGAGATCTTACTTCCTGATCAGCAAATCTAGAAGAATATCACAAAACCAAGATTTGACAGTGATTTCTTTCCAGTGAAATGGTAGTTCCTGACAACACAATCTCATTCTGTTCCTGACAAGGAACAGCAAGATATCTCTTTTATTCAAAAGCAACGTGTTTTTTCTTTTTGTAAGATGACATCTTATTGTGCTATACAGATTAGGTTTGGGGATTATTTAGGAATCTTAAATTTATGAAAATTAATTTTGGCCCACATCATAAAAATATAAATTATTCAAAATTTACAACCTAACCCATTCTTTAGGCTAGTTTTAAATGACATGAAAAGCTTTATTGACAACTTCAATGCAGAAGATATGTTTGTATAAATATACCTTAACACTTTTGGATTATATTGAATTGTTTTCATGTTAAAAGGAAAGGAAATACTCCTGACAACATACTTTACTGGAAAAACTGATATTAAAACAAGAGCAAATAGATGTACTTGACTTACTTTGAATCAAGAAGTTCCAATGCAGTTAGTGGGTACAATGGAGGCCACTGGTGAAGCAATGAGTAAGTTTTGGCAAGATTAGCCCTCTTCCAGTTTGGGGTACTTGCTAATATTTTAGGAAGACAATTTGGGTATTTGAAGCAATAATAACGTTTCTCCCATAAAAAAGCTTTATCTTCTTTAGAAAGTCTGCATATATAATAGAATTAAATTACTTCTCAGTGATAGCATAATGATATAATTTCAATGATTAAAAATACAAAGAAGAAATTTATTTATTTGGGATGGCTACTTCTTGGCAAAATCATTAATACTAATTTGGAATAGAAAAATATAATATACGGCAAATGTCAGTAATTAATGCTAATCTGAGAATGGAAAGAAATGATTCTGTCTTGATAAAAGAAACTTAGTTATGAAAAGAAGGATAATTCAGTACAATAAAAATTTATTGAGCTCAACTAGATGCCAGGCACTAGAAATCAGAGTTGAAAAAGCAGATCCCACTCTAAGTGACAGCAAGGATTTCATCCATTTTATACCAATGAAATCAAATGCTACGAAAAAAAATGCTACTATAAAATTTTAGAACATATACAGTACAACTGAGAAATATTCAAAATGAAAAGGACTTGTTTTAAAGATCCTAATTGTTTTATTTAAGCTTAAACTCAAATGTTTATGTGAATGAAATATTTCACTGTTTTACCATCCATGTATATATATATACACATGCACTGAAATTTATTCATTTCATGCGGAGTAATGAAAAAATTCAAACACTGCAAAAGGTATATAATGAAATCTCTCTCCCTCCAATTCCCCTCCAATTCCCCTCCCAAGAGGCAACCACCTAAGCTTGTATGCTCCTTCAGAGATAGTTTATTTATACAGAAGCACAGATGTGGATATACGCAGATTCTCTTTTTTCCTTTATTTTCATGGTAATACACTATATACATGATTTTACTCCTGGTTTTCTTCAGTTAACCTATTTCAAAAAAAATAGTATATACAGCTATAATTTCATTTTTATTTATTTTTAAATTTTATTTATTTATTTATTTTTGAGATGGAGTCTTGCTCTACTGCCCAGGCTGGACTGCAGTGGCACAATCTCAGCTCACTGCAGCCTCTGACTCCCAGGTTTAAGCGATTCTCCTGCCTCAGCCTCCTGACTAAGTAGCTGGGATTACGGATGCATGCTACCACGACCAGCTACTTTTGTATTTTTAGTAGAGATGGGGGTTTCACCATGTTGGCCAGCCTGGTCTCTAACTCCTGACCTCGTGATCCACCCATCTCAGCCTCCCAAAGTGCTGGAACTGCAGCCGTGAGCCACTGAGCCCAGGCTGTAATCTCATTTTTAATAGTTGTTACATGGTTCTCTACCAGAAAAATGTAGCATAATTTAATCTGTATTGATGGACATTTCCAGTCAATTTTTTTTTTCTTTTTTTTTTTTTTTTGAGATAGCGTATTGCTCTGTTGTCCAAGCTGGAGTGTGTGATGAGATCATGGCTCACTGCAGCCTTGACCTCACGGGCTCAAGCAATTATTTCACCTCAGCCTCCCGAGTAGCTGGGACTACAGACACACAACACTGTGCCTGGCTACTTTTATTTTTTTGTAGAGACGGGGTCTCACTATGCTGTCAGGCTTTCTCTAACTTGTGGGCTCAAGCAATCCTCCCACCTCAGTCTCCCAAAGTGTTGAGATTACAGGAATGAGCCACCATGCCCAGCCTCCGAAGTTTTTCAATAATCCACATAAATTCTGCAATGAATATTTCCGTCTCCATAAGCAAATATAAAAGAGTTTATCCTTTTTTGGGAACTGTTCCAGGAACAGAATTTGTATGTGATGAAGTCCAAAGAGAAGTTTAGTTCCACATGTTAAAAACCCTCATGAATGTAAAAAGAATACTGTGATTTTCATTTTAAAAATAAATTCAAAATTTACAACATATGGTAATGAATTTTAAAAGTTAGTATCAACTAAATAAAAAGATCATTTTTAAGAATATATCAGAAGAATATACACATTATAACTTTGTAGATTTTGCCAAATTGCTCTCCAAAGGAGATGTAGCTTTTTGTAGTTCTGCAAATAGTATAATTTATATTTTATGTATCCTTATCAACACTTTTAGTAAGGTATCTCAATTTTTGCCACTCTGATGTGTGTTAGATATCTTGAATTAATTTATATTTCCTTGATTACTGAGAAATTGAACATCTTTTCAGATTGTTTAAAAGCATTGTATTTCTTTTCTAAAAAATTGTTTGTTCATACTTTGTCTCGTCTCCTTGACTACTGAGTTGTTGGTCTTAATCTTATTAATAAGAAAAAGTTCTTTACAGTTAAATAAAAAGTCTCTTGATATTTACTGTAAATAGAGTTTCTAGTCTATTGTTTGGTTTTTGTTTAAGTAAAAACATTTGACTTGACAATTTCTAAACTTTTATGCAGTCATGTAGTCTTTTTATATAATTTTAAAAACAAGTTAAATATTAGCTGGCCCTCAAGACAAAAAAACTTGTAGATTATTTTAAAAAATAAATAAATAAAAATAAAGGAAACAAAGTAAGTTAAATAGAAAACTTTCCACACCAAGAAAGCTGATAAGTCATGAACAGAATCAGGGCATTTAACACAAGCCTTAACTTGACTTTTACATTACAAGAGATACTTAGCTCAAAACAGAATAAACAGAGCATACCCAAGTGATGAGTCTTTATGAAGAATATCCAGAAGTTTCCCTTTTATATCATTCTCTAGTGTTTCTAAGTTATGTTGCTGTATAATGCTTCTGTCAACTTGAGGAGTTGTATAAATAATATCAAATGCAGGAGAAGGAAAATCAACCTTTAAAATTTAACAGAAGTTGATCAAATTAGTTTATACATTTGCCACATTAACTTCTTTCTCTTTAATAGATTTTTCTTAACAATCGGGGTGTATTTACATTGAATATTAAATTAATGCTTCTTGTTGCAATTTATTACCATTGTTGGTAATTCTCAATACACATATATATTTATTGGGATGAGTACAGTACATATTTTACTGCTTCTCAGAAATATTGATAATGTAATAGAAGATAGATCCTGAGATTAAAACAAGATCAATTAGGTTTCTTTAACAACCCAAATCATGGTATAGGCACACACATTTTATAAGGAAATGTGAATTTACACCTCTGTACATGTCAAGAAGTACCATTACCTGTAGCACTATTCTTTCCATGACATATCCTTTTTTGAGAACTGTTCCAGGAACAGAATTTGTATGTGGTGAAGTCCAAAGATATAGAAGTTTAGTTCCACATGTTAAAAACCTTCATGAATGTAAAAAGAACACTGTGATTTTTCATTTCAAAACTTAATTCAAAATTCACAACACATGGTCGTGAATTTTAAAGTTAGTATCAACTAAAGAAAGATTATTTTTAAGAATATATCAGAAGGATTCACTCTCCACATTGAAAACAAATTCTATAAATAGAATGGTTAAGAATAGCTTTTCAAGATTTTCTGCAAAGAAATACATCTCAAGGTGGTGATCTGGATTACAAAACTGCTTCCTGACTTTCATCAGATCAAAAATACATGCCAAACAAAACGAAACAAGTTTTGTTTTTGTTTTTTTTTTCCGCGATGGAGTTTCGCTCTTGTTACCCAGGCTGGAGTGCAATGCCACAATCTCGGCTCACCGCAACCTCCACCTCCTGGGTTCAGGCAATTCTCCTGCCTCAACCTCCTGAGTAGCTGGGATTACAGAAACGCACCACCACACCCAGCTAATTTTTTGCATTTTTAGTAGAGACGGGGTTTCACTATGTTGACCGGGATGGTCTTGATCTCTTGACCTCGTGATCCACCCGCCTAGGGCTCCCAAAGTGCTGGGATTACAGGCTTGAGCCACCGCGCCTGGCTTTTTTTTTTTTTTTTTTTAAAGACACGGTCTTGCTGTCACCCAGGCTGGAAGGCAGTAGCACAACTATGGCTCAGTGCAGCCTTGACCTCCCTGGGCTCAAGTGATCCTTCCACCTCAGCCTCCCAAGTAGCCAGGACTATAGGCATGTGCCACCATGCTCAGCTAATTCTTGTTGGGTTTTGTTTGTTTGTTTGTTTGTTTGTAGAGAAGGGGTTTTGTCATGTTGCCCAAGCTGGTCTAGAACTCCTGAGGCTCAAATGATCCACCTGCTCAGCCCCCCAAAACGTTGAAATTACAGGCATGGGCTGCCATGCCCAGCCAGAGATGAAAAGTTTTATCTTGTTTCCTAGATTAGGAGTCAGCCAACTTTCTCTATGCAGAGCCAGACAGTATACATTTTGGGCTTTGTGGACCATACAGTCTCTGTTGCAAGACTTCAATTCTGCTGTTACAGATGAGAAGTTTTATCTGTTTCCTAGACTAAGAGTCAGACAATTTTTTCTATACAGAGTCAGAGAGTAAACATTTTGGGCTTTGTGGACCATACCACCGTCTCTGCTCTATGGTCTTTGTGGACCATATAGTCTCTTGACCATACAGTCAAGACTCAATTCTGCTGTTGTAGTGCAAATTAGCCATGAACAACACACAAATGAATAGGCATGCTATGCTCTAACAAACTGTATTTGTATTTATAAAAACAAGCAATGGGCTCAAGTATGCTGACTCTTGCCCTAGACTATTAATTTATGGCCTACTCAATCAAAACATTCTTTCAAAGATATTGACATATCATTACACTTAAGAAATTTCTGAAAAATAATATATATAAAAGCAGAAAACTATAAACTTTGTCAAATCTTTGCTCATTTTATTCAAACAGCAACTATCTTTTTTGTTGTTGTTGTTTCTGAGGCAGAGTCTCACTCTGTCACCCAGGCTGGAGTACAGTGGCACAATCTCTCAGCTCGCTGCAACCTGTCTCCCAGGTTCAAGCAATTCGCCTGCCTCAGCCTCCTGAGTAGCTAGGATTATAGGCATGCACCACCACGCCTGGCTAATTTTTGTATTTTTAGTAGAGATGGGGTTTCACCATGTTGGCCAGGCTGGTCTTGAACTCCTGATCTCGTGATCAGCCCACCTCAGCCTCCCCGTGCTGGGATTACAGGCGTAAGCCACCGCACCTGGTCCCAAATAGCAAAATATCTTTACTAAAATCAGACTCCAGTTTTAAGATTGTCTCTTGACAGATAAACAGGCTTTGAATCTTTGATACATTATAATCCATCATTTATTTATTTATATTTTTTAGGGACAGGGTCTCCCTCTGTTCTGCAGCTTGGAATGCAGTGGTGTGATCATAGCTCACTGCAGCCTTGAACTCCTGAGCTCAAACAACCCTCCTACCTCCCGAGTTGCTAGAATTACAGGTGTAAGCCCCCATACCATGTGGCTCAGAACCACCCTTACCTCCAACTAGGCTTAAGACAAATCCTGATCATATTATTTCATCTATAAATACTATTATATATGTCTAAAAAGTAAAGTTTCCTGTAATAAGTACAATACCATTATTCCTCCTAAAATAACTAACAATAATTACTTAAGATCATAAAATATCTAGTCACTATGTAAATTTCCCTGATTGTCCCATAAATGATTTGTTTTTTAACAGTTGGTTTGCTTAAAACAAGATCCAAGCAAGGTCTAACACTTGCATTTAGATGTCTTTTTTTTTTTTTGAGATGCAGTCTTGCTTTGTCGCCCAGGCTGGAGTGCAGTGGTGCAATAAATTTGGATGTCTTTTTAACCATCTTTTAATTCAGGGTCAGCAAACTCCAACCTGCCTTTACAAAGGTTATTTAAAAGCCAAGTGTAAATAAACAGGCCTTTACACCTGGCTTCATAAGTAAACTTTTACCAGACAAAGCCATGCTGATTTGTTTATGTACCGTCTATAACTCCTTTTGCATTTGTGATAGAGTCTATATGGTCTGCAAAGCCTAAACTACTTCTATCTGGAACTCTTTACAGAAAAAGTGTGTTAACTCTTGTTTAGTCTCATTCTCTTTTTTCTCCACTTGCTATGTATTTGTTGATGATACCAGGCCTTTTGTTCTGCAGAATTTTCCATATCATAAATTTTGCTGGTTATACTGTTCTAGTGTCATTTAACATGTCCTCCTGCATTTTCCATAGAGAAGAAGTTAGACCTAGGGGCCTGATTTGATTCAGTTCTAGTTCTTTTGCAAGAATACTTACTATTTTGGAGTTGGTATTGTATACTACTACTTTTTTTTTGAGATGGAGTCTCGCTTTGTAGCCCAGGCTGGAGTGCAATGGTGTGATCACGGCTCACTGCAACTTCCACCTCCAGGGTCCCGGTTCAAGCAATTCTCCTACCTTAGCCCCTCAAGTAGCTGGGATTACAGGCACAAGCCACCATGCCCAGCTAATTTTTGTATTTTTTAGTAGAGATGGGGTTTCATCATGTTGGCCAGTCTGGTCTTGACCTCCTGACCTCGTGATCCACCAACCTCGGCCTCCCAAAGTGCTGGTATTACAGGCGTGATTCACCGTGCCCGGCCTGTATACTACTTCTTATTGTAGCAAATAAAAAGGTATACATTGTTTGGGTTATCTCTCCCTCTCTGTGATGTTACTGTTGATCAGTTTAGTTCAAGGCACACATCAGTTTAAGCCATCAATTATGAAATTGCAGAAAAACTAATGGTTTTAAGAAGGCATTTTCACAGACTGTAAGGGTATACAACAAAAAAACAGAAGGCACTCATGATCACTGCTTAGATCAATGGTTCTCAATTGGAAGTGATTTTCCTCTCAGCAGACATTTGGTAATTTGCAAACAATTTTGGTTGTAAACTGAGGTGGTACTACTGGCATCTAGTGGGTAGAAGCTAGAGATGCCACTAAACATCCTACAATGCACAAAACAGTCTCCCACAACAAAAAATAATTTGGCCTGAAATGTCAATACTGCCAAGATTGAGAAACCCTGGCCAAAATCTATTATTTCAGCATGGGTTGCAAAATTATAATATTCTAATTCTATCATTCCTTCTGCATCTAATAGCTATAGATTTTCTTTTTTTTTTGAGACGGAGTCCTGCTCTGTCGCCCAGGCTGGAGTACAGTGGTGCAATCTCGGCTGACTGCAATCTCCGCCTCTTGGGTTCAAGTGAATTTCCTGCCTCAGCCTCCCAAGTAGCTGGGACTACATGCATGAGCCACCACACCAGGCTAATTTTTTTTGTAGTTTTAGTAGAGACAGGGTTTCACCATATTGGCCAGAGTTGTCTCAAACTCCTGCCTCAGCCTCTCAAAGTGCTAGGATTAGAGGTGTGAGCCACTGTGCCTAGCTAGCTGAAGATTTTCTGTAAAAAACTTTTGTCATCTCAATTGCTGCCAGGCATGGTGGCTCACGCCTGTAAGCCCAGCATTTGGAAGGCGAAGGCAGGTGGATCACTTGAGACCAGGATTTCACACCAATCTGGCCAACATGGTGAAACGATGTCTCTACCAAAAACACAAAAATTAGCCAGACATGGTGGCACACATTTGTAATCTCAGTTACTCTGGAGGCTGAGGCTTGAGAATCATTTGAACCTAGGAGGCGGAGGTTACAGTGAGCCAAGATCATGATACTGCACTCCAGCCCAGGTGACAGAGTGAGACTCTGTCTCAAAAAACAAAAATAAAAAATTATTTGCTAACACTCAGAAATAACTGTAAAGGAAAGACAGGTTAACTGCTTAATTATGTTTATGTACCAGTTTTCAGACAAATGAGTTAAGAACCCATTTGTGCTGGACCTGGTAGGTCACGCCTATAATCTGGGATTGGAAGGCAGGAAGATGGATCAGTTGAGGCCAGGAGTTTGAGACTAGCCTGGGCAAAATAGTGAGACCCCATCTCTATAAAAAAATAATTTATTGTTAAATACCTCATTTGTTATTAAGGCTGACTGAAATAGCTTTGAGTCATTTGGCTTCAATAACAGTGACCATTAGGTCATATGAAGATTGTACCTTTAACAGAAATTATTTCATGAAGAATTTCAAAACTAGGATTACTAATCATAATACATTATGTTAACTCAACTATATTATACACTTTATTTCTCTATATTAGTATATAATAATGTCTCATTAATAATCATTTCTCTTAATCATCATCTCTCTTAATTTCTGAGTATTCCTTAAATATGAAGTCCTAACATCACCTAGATCACCTGCACTACTTAGCACCTACTGATTCTCCAAAACTGGAGAAGAGTAGGAATGAAATGGGAAAAGGAAAAATGAAGTTCTTTGATTAATATCAAGGGAACTTAGAAGACTGTGATATTATGTCAATAATATAGCACTTTATATAAACGACAGTTATTGGCTGCTGCTTTTCTCCACAGAGCAGTGAGTGGCAAACAAAGCTGTACATACCTATTCCGATATATTCAGACTATAGCAGAATAACTTTGATTCCCTCTGATCTGTGTCTCTAAACTGACCTCCTTTTATCACATTAGAAAAATTGAAGCAGCTCATTTACTCATCTATGTTCCTCCCCTCACCTCCTTGTCACCTAGCCAATTCTGAGGTGCAGATGTGTCCACAGTGACTCACCATTACAATTCAGTAATACTTACCGTTTAAAGTCAAAGAGAGGTAAAGAAACTTTGCCCAAGGCTTCTGGCCCCTTTCTCTGCTTATTAGAATCAGGGGAACTTCCACTGTTCTGATTTAAAATTCCAAAAAGAGTAAGGTGAAGAAGTGATTCTAATGGCAATTGTGATATCTGGATGGGAAAAATGACTCTATGGGGGAAAAAATGTATTAATAGAACAAATTAGATTGAATATGAAATTTAACACTTTAATGAGACTGACAATTTTAGGTATTGTATCTGACCTTTCAAATCATCTTTATTTGGTTTCTTTTTAAGATGGCATTTTTGCTCTGTTGCCCAGGCTAGAGTACAATGGCATGATCTCGGCTCACTGCAATGTCCACCTCCTGGGTTCAAGTGAGTCTTCTGCCTCAGCCACCTGAATAACTGGGATTATAGGCACCTGCCACCAAGCCCAGCTAAATTTTGTATTTTTAGTAGAGACAGAGTTTCATCAAATTGGCCAGGCTGGTGTTGAACTACTGACCTCAGGTGATTTACTCGCCTCGGGCTCCCAAAGAGCTAGCTAGGATTACAGGTGTGAGCCACCACACCTGGCCTCAAATAATCTTTAATATTGAGTAACCTTTAGCTAAATGTAAGTCTGGCTAACTTGTCCTAAGAAAATTTTTAAATAAATTTTATTAACAGAATAAAATTTCAAAACATGACATTTCTTTCTTTAAAGACTTGCAAATGCCTTTGAGATTTGTAATGTGAATTTTCAGGCAAAATAATATTAGTCATTTTTATTTCCCTTTGGAAAAACTAGATGAATGTTTATGAGCAAAACAAAACAAAACAAAAAGTATATAAACCAACAGACATGTTTACTAATGCATTATTTTTTAAGTCTAAAAGAACGCTTGAAGTCAACAGTGGTCACTGTGAAATAGCAAATGTTGAAAATAGAGTGACACTTTCTGCTTATATGAACTTTTGTATTATTTGATTGCTTTCAGATATATATTATTTTATAAAACAAAAGATAATAAAAGAACAGGAAAACATTTAATAGATGTGGAACAAATAGTAAAAAGTTCCACAACTGCCTATCTGCGTAAATAAGAAGTTCCCTTAGTTTAAAAACATTAGACCAAGGGTGTGGTGGCTCACACCTGTAATCCCAGCACTTTGGGAGGCCAAGGCCGGTGGATCACCTGAGGTCCAGAGTTCCAGACCAGCCTGGCCAACATGAAGAAACCCTGTCTCTACAAAAAAATTCGCCAGGCATGGTGGTGCATGCCTGTAATCTCACTTACTTGGGAGGCTGAGGCAGGAGAATTGGCTGAACCCAGGAAGTGGCGGTTACAGTGGGCTGAGATCGCACCACTGCACTCCAGCCTGGGTGACAGAGTGAGACTCCATCTCAAAAAAATAAAATAAAATAACCACTATTTAAAAAACATGAATAGTACAAAATATCATCTTGTACATGGATTTAAGATAACTTTTTGGTTAAGTGTTGATTAATGTAAGAGCCAGAATTGTTATATAAGGTTACAGAATAAATACTAAAGTGAGCAATGCTATAAAATACCATGTTTTTATACCTTTTGTTCCTTTCTGTAACTATAAATGTGTATCTTTAACTTGACAAAGTCTAAAAAGAATTAATGGTATGTTTTTGCAATTTAATACTATGACAGCTTAAAAGGGTCTTTTCTTTGTTTTTTTGAGACAGAGTTTTGCTCTTACTGCCCAGGCTGGAGTGCAATGGCACCATCTCAGCTCACCACAACTTCTGCCTCCCGAGTTCAAGCGATTCTCCTGCCTCAGCCTCCCAAGTAGCTGGGATTACAGGCACCCACCACCACACCTGGCTAATTTTGTATTTTTAGTAGAGACGGGGTTTCTCCATGTTGGCCAGGTTGGTCTCGAAGTCCCAGCCTCAGGTGATCCACCCTCCTCAGCCTCCCAGAGTGCTGGGAATACAGGTGTAAGCCACCACACCCAGCGTATTTCAAATTTTTTAATGAGAATTTCAGTGTGTTCTATAAAATCATATCTAGAAGAGATCTTAAGACACAAGTTAGAACTTAATGAATTTCAATGCAAATGGTAATAAAATTAAAGCTAGGATGCATACATTGGAAAAAGTAAAGAACAGGGCACACTGAAAGAATAAAAAGCCAGAAATTTCACTTACAGTTCATCCCATTTAATAAGATAGAAGAAATTCTTGTAAGTGCCAACCTTCTTTGACTGAATAGGTTTAAAAAGATCCTTTCCATTGTGAGACAGCGAACATATCAAGTAGTATTTTTCATAACTGAAAAAAGAAAGTTTAACTTGATTTCTATCTTGATAATACAAATTAGTTAACTAATACAAGTACACTAGCAGTTCTTCCTCCAAAGAGACTAATATCTGAAATAATCTAGTCACCTTTCATTTGAATTTTTAGAAATCCATCTGAAATTTAACCATTGCATATTCTACAAAAATAGAAAAGAGGTTTGGCAAAGGCGATAAAAAGGGAAATGTATGTTCCTAGGTCCCAGTTGAAAGCATGGTCATAACACCAACTGGATAATTTACTTCAGTTTTGTGTTCAGTTAGTTACTAGCTTCAGATTTTAGTTTAATGACACTGAATAATGTATTCGTTCATTTTTAAGTTCTTTGCTCAACTACTGAAATAGAGTCAGCTAAGCATATTAATAGTATATGTGCCTGACTCGCAAAGAGCCGATCTTCCTAGTCTATCAGGAGTCTTCAATTTATGGGGACAGATGATATTGTATTCTTTCATTAGACTGCAGTGACTCAGCCACTAATTGCCAAGTACACAGCTGGCTGGATATAGTCATGTAAAGTAGGAGTCTTAGATTCAAAAAAGTTGTATTCTACTTAATCTAACTTACCACTAGCCTTACATGTTAACCACTTTGTTCATATACACGATTTATTTATCAGCCTGAATTTATTTCAAATCAAATTTCATTGGTTCTCATAATACCCAAGCTGACTATTTGGTTATTTTTCTCAGCTTTATTCCATTTTCCCCTATTCAGCATTTTATTAATTTACTCTCCGTCTTTTTTCTTTTTATTTATTTTTTCTTCTACCCCATTGTAACTGAGATATTAAGCAGCCTTTACTCTCCATCTTTATCATTGTTTTCTGTATTGTCTTCAACTGTGTAGTTGTTCACCTCATTAGTGTACCTACATATATCTCTGTGTGTCTATGTACAAACATTTGTGTGTATGTGCCTATGGAGAATGTGGAGATTTTTATCCCTGTAATGAAATACCTTCAGATACCATCAGTAGAGTATCCATTTAAATGCAAGTTCCAGGAGAGTACAGGTTTTTTGCTACTGAATCCCCAGTACTAAGAACACTGTCCACGATGGTGCTCAATAAATTTAATTGAATAAATTAAAACACCACTTTCAAGTCACTAAATTATTTTATTTTAATCTAAAGCCCAATTTAAACAGAACTTATGTTTGTTATTTCTTCACTAGACTTTTTAAAATAGCATTAAGCTATTATAAAACGATTTCACTATAATCCTAGCACTTGGTGAGGCCAAGGTGGGCAGATCACTTGATGTCAGGAGTTAGAGATCAGCCTGGCCAACAAGGTGAAATCTTGTCTCTACCAAAAATTCAAAACTTAGCCGGGCATGGTGGTGCATGCCTGTAATCCCAGCTACTGGAGGCAGGAGCTGAGGCATGAGAATCGCTTGAACCCTGGAAGTAGAGGTTGCAGTGAGCTGAGATCGCGCCACTGCACTCCATCCTGAGCAATAACACAAGACTCTGTCTCAAAAAATAGAACGAATAAACAGCAGACTTAAATTGCCTAATTTATTAACTGACATCTTCTCTGTTTTTCTGCTGTATTTTCCTGCTTTTTTTGCATGTAAGAGTGATACTTTTTTTAGTGGAAGAATTTCAAACACTTCTGTAATTTTTATGACAACCACAAATGTACCTGCTGCCTTTTTTTTTTTTTGAGACGGAGTTTCGCTCTTGTTACCCAGGCTGGAGTGCAATGGCGCGATCTCGGCTCACCGCAACCTCCGCCTCCTGGGTTCAGGCAATTCTCCTGCCTCAGCCTCCTAAGTAGCTGGGATTACAGGCATGCGCCACCACGCCCAGCTAATTTTTTGTATTTTTAGTAGAGATGGGGTTTCACTTTGTTGACCGGGATGGTCTCGATCTCTTGACCTCGTGATCCACCCGCCTCGGCCTCCCAAAGTGCTGGGATTACAGGCTTGAGCCACCGCGCCCGGCCTTACCTGCTGCTTTTTTTTAATCAGTCATTTAAACATTAAGATAACAGTGGCTGCTGACATTTTACAAGCTCAGAATAGTTTCTAGATAAAGCTGCACATATTTTCTTTTCTTTTTTTAAAAAAAAACAGGAACATCAGCAAAGGGGATGCACAGATTTTCTTTTCTTATTTTTCTTTTCTTGAGACAGGGTCTTGCTCTGTCACCCAGGCTGAAGTGCAGTGACATGATCATAGCTCACTGCAGTCTTGATCTCCTGGCTCGAGCAACCCTCCCACCTCAGCCATCTGAGTACTGGAACTACAGGGGCATACCACCACTGGCTAATTTTTGTTTGTTTGTTTTTCTTAGATGAAGTTTTACTCTTGTTGTCCAGGCTGGAGTGCAACAGTACCATCTTGGCTCACAGCAACCTCCACCTCCCAGGTTCAAGCAATTCTCCTGCCTCAGCCTCCCAAGTAGCTGGAATTACTAGCAGGGGCCACCACGCCTGGATAATTTTGTATTTTTAGTAGAGATGGGGTTTCTCCATGTTGGTCAGGCTGGTCTCAAACTCCTGACCTCAGGTGATCTGCTTGCCTTGGCCTCCTAAAGTGCCAAGATTACAGGCATAAGCCACTGTACCTGGCCAACTAATTTTTTAAAAATTATTTTTAGTAGAGATGAGGTTGCCCAGGCTGGTCTCCAACTCCTGGGCTTGAGCAATCCTCCCACCATGGCCTCACAAAGCACTGGGATTACAGATGCAAGCCACCAGGACCAGCTGCTTAAACAGTTACTTACTTTGATACCCAATTACTTGAAATTCCATGAGCAGCAAAAATAGTAAACTGGAGCTGTTCTGTTGTAGCCCATGCTTCCTTGACACTCCTGCTACTTGGGGCACAGTCTGTAGGACTCCTACCAGAATTTGTATGGAGTCTGAGAAGGTCATAAATTGCTGCAGTTAATTGGTCCATGCTTACTTGAACAGGATTTTCAGGATTCAGTGAGCCTAGGTATATATATATACATATATATATTTTAAAAGTTAATATATTCTCTGAAAAAGCAGTGATTCTTGCTTAAATTTAAAGACTTAAACACATACCCCTAGTTGAACTCTTGCTAGTGTCTTCTCCTTCGGACAAAGAAGTCACCTACATATGTACACAGACAATAGTCAGAAAATTGCCTATGACATAACATAAAATGCCATATACTATGTCAAAGAAACTTTTTTCAGGAGGAACCTCCCAAGCATCTACAGAATTAATAAAACAATAAATAAATAATGCAAAAAGAAAGGGTAAACCACAAACCAAGATTATTTTTAGTATTAAGATAATCAGAATAAAAATTACTGAAAAATATCACAGAAACAGAATAAAATATCCTTTGCTAATATTAATTTGAAATCTAGAAGTATAAGTACAGTATTTTTTTTTCCATTAGTTGTTTTAAAACAACATGATAAGAATATCCTCAAAGAAAAAAATCTAGAATTCTATTTATTACCATTCGGTGACTCAAAAAAGTGCTTATAATTATCTATCTGACTCCCCTCCCATCTACTGTCTGCTCCTTTATCCAGCAAATGGGTAAAATAAATAGAAGCCTCAGACAAAATTGGGTCCATGGTAGTTGATTACCTCCAGTAATTTCATATATATATATTTTAGTTTCTAAAAAGAAGCACACAAGAAAGTAGAAAAAAAGAAACTCTATCTCTATATACCATATGGATAGGATCTCTCTGAGAATGCATGTATCTTCTAGATATCAAGGGGCACACCACCAACATAATTTTTCTATCCTTGATATTTATTGTGGCTTTTGAGAACCATCCCTTCTTTCATTCTTGCAATTAAAGACTTAAACATCCCTATGAAGCAAGTTAATTAAATCCCTTTGGAAATATCATGAGGGACAGCTTTTATTAAAAGTAACAGTATATGGCCGGGCGCGGTGGCTCAAGCCTGTAATCCCAGCACTTTGGGAGGCCGAGGAGGGTGGATCACGAGGTCGAGAGATCGAGACCATCCTGGTCAACATGGTGAAACCCCGTCTCTACTAAAAATACAAAAAATTAGCTGGGCATGGTGGTGCGTGCCTGTAATCCCAGCTACTCAGGAGGCTGAGGCAGGAGAATTGCCTGAACCCAGGAGGTGGAGGTTGCGGTGAGCCGAGATCGCGCCATTGCACTCCAGCCTGGGTAACAAGAGCGAAACTCCGTCTCAAAAAAAAAAAAAAAAAAAAAAAGTAACAGTATAACTTAAAGGAAAGGCCCCTAATCTGGCAGCTTCTGAGGCATTACAGTGGAAGCCCTTGATCTTTTCAATAGGGACAGTATTATCCAAAATAGAACTTCCCCTACTGGTAATCAGGACACGTTCACCCTAAGGGAGAAGTAATAGCTATTACTTTTCAGGTCCTCCAAGTTCAGTATCTACCCTTAAACCCCAAACCAACTCATTTATGCCAGAGGTCTTCCTCTATACACAAAGGGTTCACAGTTTGACATCCACCTGTTGAATATCAGCGCTCATAAAGGTCTTTCAGGCAGCCCAACTTCTTACCAAGGAATCCCCACATAACCAAGTAACTGATTCAACCCAAAAGTAAAAGCCAAAGTTAAAATGACAATATTTTGTCTAGCAGAAAGCAAAAATCTCTTGTTTAAGTACATATTTGCATGTAATAAAATGCTAGTTACCAAAAATACTCACATCAGTAGTTTTATTCCTGGGAAGATTAACTGCCCTCTTTAGCTTCTTAACTGATTCTGTAATGGCAAGAGTCTCAACACCATCTAAAGCACTACAGATTTTTCTTACAGCTTTAATTACTTGATCTACTGCTCGGTGCTGGTTCTTTAAAAATAAAACATAAAATAAAAATAAGTAGGTGAAATTTTAAGGACCAATTCCAGAGACTAAGTCAGAAACTAGATATTTTAGATAGCCCTAACAGATACCCTCTACTCTTTTGTAATGAAAAAGAAAAGAAATAAGATAGCTTTCCAATTGTATAGTTTATTTTGAAGTGGGAAAGGCAAGGCCTGGTTAATTTTCACTTTGTCTGACACATTATTCATTTGCAAATTGCCACTAATTTCATATTAGAATCAGAAGTAGAAGCATAAATTAGTTAACAAATCACTAAAACTAGAGCTACTTTTTCTTATCCTCATTAGAAATAATTTCCACATTAAAAACAACCCTTCTCTTGCTCCTGCAAAAGTTTGGTATCAAAAACCAAGTTCTTCAGAGGTTGGTCACATATTAATAACACTGGGCAACATTTACCTGAGAAGTACATAGTTCATTAAGAACATTCTTATATAATGTATGAATTCATAAAACATGTATGCCAAACACTGTTAGAATGGGCTGAAACTCAGTACTATACCACCCCTTAAAAATTTAAATTTTTCCACCCTTAAGCCTTGGCTACTATAAACCTTCACCTTCAAGCTTAAATGAAACCAACTAATTTTCTCAAATACCCAATTACCCTGCAGTCCTCGGGGCCTGTTTTCTAGCTCCCCATTTTTGCTTATTTGACTTGTATTTCCTGCTTCCTTTTATTTCACCTTGATGCAAAAGCCTTTCCAATTTTGAAGGTCATGCCATTCTCCTATATTACTTTACATTACTAATTTTTTTCCTTTTTGAGACAGAGTCTCATTCTGCTGCTCAGGCTGGAGTGCAGTGGTATTATCTTGGCTCACTGCAACCTCTGCCTCCTAGGTTCAAGAGATTCTCCTGCCTCAGCCTCCCGACTAGCTGAGATTACAGGCACCTGCTACCACACCTGGCTAATTTTGGTATTTTTTGTAGAGACAGAGTTTCACCATGTTGGCCAGGCTAGTCTGGAACTCCTGAACTCAGGTGAAACACCCACCTCAGCCTCCCAGAGTGCTGGGATGACAGGCGTGAGCCACTGTGCCTGGCCTACATTACTCTTTAAGTGCCAGTTACAATTTATTGTCTATCAGTTCCAAATCCACCCTTCCTCTGCTCTCCTTTCTGATACTAGAGCTAAACTCTATAAACATTTCTCTTTGCCAAACTAGCGCATTGTTAGGTTTTGTCAATTGAACACACAGAAAGGACAATTCAAGGAAAGAGCATTAGGAAGATACTTCCAATTTGGGTTCCAGCTCTCTCATTTTTTTTAAGTCTTAACTTTTATTACTCAAAAAAGCTTCACTTTTCATTTAGCTTTCTAACTCTGTGCTTGTGCCTTCAACATTTCCACAATGATTTTCTGCTTCTTGATAAGGAAAGCACACTTGATCCTGTCACCAACACATTTAGCACACATAGAATCACCACAGGCCCTGCTGACATGTTTGTTTTGGACAATCTCATAAGAACTTTAGGTCTCACAGCACAAACCGCTCAAAGTCTACCTGGATATATACCACAAGCAGATTTTGATGCTTTCCCAACCTTGTTGGTACAAAGATAAACAATTCAATTACCAGGGGTTCAGGACAGCCTAGTTTTGTTAGAGGCTATGTTGCAGGAAAGCCTATGAGGGTATGCCAAATGCCTCAGAAGAGGAAAAATAGCCAGCCTTCTGTTTTGTTTTGTTTTGTTTTGTTTTGTTTTTAATTCAGTGTGACAGCTCAGTAGTCCTGAAAGACTACCTACCCCTGGCGGCATTCTCAGGCTATGTTCTGCCTGACAGCTCTGGCTAAAGTTCTCCAGCAGGTTTCTTTGCTACAGGCAACTATATATTCCTGTGATAGCCATACTTTCTTCAAAAAGGCTAAATTTCAGTCTAAGGTTGGGGGACAGACCTTATCATAAGTCCTTAGAGTGGTGCACTATCCTTTCTTCCTCAGCCTAGAAGTGACACCTGCTTTTATGCACCTGCTAACTCTGGACTCTTTAGAGTAGGACTGGCAAACTTTTCCTTTAAAAGGCCAGTTAGTAAATATTTTAGGCTTTGTGGGCCATACAGTCTCTGGCCCCAATTCAACCCTTCCATTAAAGTGTGAACACAGACACAGACAATACATAAACAAATGACCAAATGACTGTCACTATGGTCCAATGAAACTGCAAAAACAGAGAGCAGGCCAAATTTGCTGTGTGAGCCATTGTATGCCAATTCCTGCCTTAGAATCCTCTTTTATCCCTTGCAGCAATTAATTATTATCTTTTACTAATAATTATTTAAATTTCTCTTTTCTTTCTTTTTTTTTTTTTTTTCTGTTTGAGACAGAGTCTCACTCTGTCACGCAGGCTGGAGTGCAGTGGCATGATCTTGGCTCACTGCAACCTCTACCTCCTGGGTTCAAGCGATTCTCCTGCCTCCGTCTCCTGAGTAGCTGGGATTACAGGTATGTGCCACCACACCCAGATAATTTTTATATTTTTATTAGAGACGAGGTTTTGCTATGTTGGGCTGGTCTCCAACCCCTGACCTCAGGTGATTCGCCTGCCTCAGCTCCTAAAGTGTAGGATTATAGGCGTGAGCCACCGAGGCTGGTCTAAATTTCTCTTTTCAAATAACTGGTACAGTTTCTGTCTCCTGACTGGCCCACACTGATACATCTCACTACTGACATGATCATTTCCCCCACTGCATGCCGTATTTTGGCACTGGATATTCATCTAACTTTCTACCCTACATTCTGTAATAAAAGCCTCAGTTACAAAGTATACATGTGGAAAATTCACAATCTATTCAACTCCAAACTTTACCCTATTGGAACCTTAACCACAATATCATTTCTGATTTCAACCCCCTTTGCTTCCAGTCCTCACACCCTCATTCCGACTAAACTCTCTTCTGTCTTCTCTACCTCATTCCGACGAAACTCTTATCTGCTTCTTCTACCACACAGCTGGGCACTTTTAGAAAAATCTTACAGATTCAACAGTCCTCAATTTCAGCAGGAACTTCCATGGCACCCAAAATTCCTTTAATCTGCCCTTGGTCAGCTCTCTCCTTCCCATTCCCTAGAGGATATTAAACCAAACTATTATTACTTGCCTCAAAAGCCCTACTGCCATCCTAACTTCATTTTAGCAAATGAATTAAGATCTTATCTTCAGAAGACTAAAGGCCAGGAATAACCAAAAATTCTGCAACTTCCTAGCTGGGCATAGTGGTATGTGCCTGCAATCCTAGCTACTTGAAAAGCAGAGGTGGGAGGATCTCTTGAGCCCAGGAGTTTCAAGCCAGCCTGGGCAAGACAGTGAGATCTCCGTTTCTTTAAAAAAGATAAAATAAATAAAAATTAAAAAAAAAAAAAAAAAAAAAAACTTCTGCAACTTCTTGATCGCCCCCTAAAATCCATCCAAAAGAAATTAAAATGTATATCCACAGGCTTATACATGAATTTTTATAACAGCATTATTCATGATAACCCAAAATTATGAAGTTTAAGTCCAAATGTTAATCATTTGGCAAAGAAACAAAATGTGAGGTAGCCTGGAAAAGTATTCAGCAAGAAAAAAGAGAACTACAGATACCTACTACAACATGAATGAACCTCAAAAACAGTATGGTATGTGAAAGAAACCAGATGTGAAACCCTACATAGTTACATGAAATGTCCAGAAAGGGCAAAGCTATAGAAATAGGAACCAGATTAGTAGTTGTTTGGGGCTGGGACTGAGAGTGAGGATGGACTGCAAATCAGTGCAAGGAAACTTATTTGGGAGTGATGAGAATATTCTAAAACCGGACTGTGGTGATAACTGTACAACTCTCTACATTGGCTAAAAATCACTGAACGGTGTGCATATAATGCGTGTATTTTATGATATATAAATTATACCTCAGTAAAGCTACAAAAATAAAAGGGGAGGGGAATAAGTATAAGAGAGTTACTTTTTAGAAAAGATGGTAAGTGAAGAACTCTCTGGTGACATTTGGGCACTGACCTCAAAAAAGTGTAAGGTGAGCCATGCAAATGTTTCAGGGAAAAGCATTAGAGGGAACAATACGCACAAGCGTCCCCAGTAGAGACCATACCTGGCAGATAATCAAACAGAAAAAAAAGCAAGGAAAGTGGTAAGAAGCCAGATCAGAGAGATAGTGAGTCATACCATGTAGAACCTTGAAGCTACAATGAGAGCTTTGAATTTTACTAAGTAAGACAGTAAACAGGATTCTCAGCAAAGGACTGACATGATCTAACATTTTTTAAAGGATTTACAAACTTTCTTTTCAAAGCCCCACCTTCTGGCTCTGATTTTCTCTTATTTTACTTTCTGCTCTTGTCTTTTTATTCTTTTTTTTTTTTTTTTAAGACAGGTCTCATTCATCCAGACTGGACTGCAATGGCACGATCTTGGCTCACTGCAACCTCTGCCTCCCAGTTTCAAGCAATTCTCCTACCTCGGCCTCCAGAGTAGCTGGGATTACAGGTACACACCACCACACCCAGCTAGTTTTCTTGTTTTCTTTTTTTAATTTTATTTGCCAACTCACTGAGCATATTTTTCTTATTTTTATTTTTAAAATAAAGTTTTTACTTTTTAATAATTTTAAATTTGCCGGGTGCGGTGGCTCACATCTGTAATCCCAGCACTTTGGGAGGCTGAGGAGGGTGGATCACGAGGTCAACAGATCGAGACCATCCTGGTCAACGTGGTGAAACCCCGTCTCTACTAAAAATACAAAAAATTAGCTGGTGGTGCGTGCCTGTAATCCCAGCTACTCAGGAGGCTGAGGCAGGAGAATTGCCTGAACCCAGGAGGCGGAGGTTGCGGTGAGCCGAGATTGTGGCATTGCACTCCAGCCTGGATAACAAGAGTGAAACTCTGTCTCAAAAAAAAAAAATTATTATTATTATTATTATTTTAAATTTATAGAAAGTTATAAAAATAATACAAAGTTCCCACAT